AATAAATAAACACATGACAAACTCAGCATCATTACACATTAGGGAAATGAAAATCAAAGCCACAATGAGGGGCACCTGGATGGCTCAGTCGGTTAAGCATCTGTCTTCAGCTCAGGTCATGATCCCAGAGTCCTGGGATAGAGCCCAGTGTCTGACTCTCTGCTCAGCGGGGAGCCTGCTTCTCCCTCTGTCCTCCGTCCCCTCCCCACTCATGCTCTCTCTCACAAGCTCTATCTCAAATAAATAAATAAAATCTTTTTAAAAAATTTAAAAAGCCACAATGAGATACACCTTACACCGACTAAGATGGCTATAATCAAAGGACAGTAACAGGAGGTGATAAGTATGTGAAGAAACTGGAACCCTCAAGCATTGCTGGTGGAAACATAAAATGGTGCACCCGCATTGGAAAACAATGTCTTAGTCCATTCGGGCTGCTATAACAAAATACCACAAACAGGGTGGCTTATAAACAGCAGAAATTTATTGCTCATAGTTCTGGAGGCTGGAAGTCCAAGATTTTGGTACCAGCATGGTCGGGTTAAAGTGAGGACTCTCTTCGGGGTTGCAGACTCCAAACTTCTGGCTGTGTCCTCACATGGCAGAAGGGATGAGGAGCTCTCTCAGGCCTCTTTCATAAAGGCACGAATCCCATTCCTAATCACCTAATCACCTCCAAAAGGCCCTACCTCTACTACCATTACCTTGGGGATTAGGATTTCAACATAAAAAGTTTGGGAGGCCTCAAACATTCAGACCAAAACAAACAGTACAGCAGTTTCTCAAAATGTTAAATACAGATTTACCATGTGACGAGCAATTCCATTCCTAGGCCTCTACCCGAGAGAAAGGAAAATATGTGTCTGTACAAAAAGTAGAATATGAATGTTCACAGCAGCATTTTTCACAATAGCCAAAAAGCATAAACAACCCAAATATTATCCATCAATTGGTGAATGGATTAAATAAAATATGGTATATTCATACACTGGCATACTATACTCTTTAGTAATAAACAAGAACAAAGTATTGATACATGCTACAACATGGATGAACCTCAAAACATTATACTGGGTGAAAGAAACCAAACACAAAAGACCACATATCGTCTGACTCCATTTACATGAAATCTCCAGAGAAGGCAACTTTTGAGAACAGAGAATTGATTAGTGGATACCTAGGGACAGGAAGTGGGAATGGAGAATAAACTACAAATGAATACATCTTCTTTGGGAGATGATGGAAATGTTCTGAAATAAAATTACGGTGATTATTGCACAACTCTCTAAATACTCTACGAATCACTGAATTGTACACTTAAAAGAGGTGAGTTTTATAGTACATAAGATATACCTCAAAAACTTTTTTAAAAAGATACTCAACCTCATTAGTTGTCACTGAAATGCAAGTTCAAGCCACCATGAGCTACCCATACACAGCCACTAGAATGGCTAAAATTTTAAAGACTGACAATACTAAGTATTGGTGAGGACAGGGAACAACTGGAATTCTCATACACAGCTGATGAAGACATAAAATGGTGTACTGGGTGTGAATAACATTCCCCAAAATAATATGTCCAATCTTAACCCACGGTTATCGTAAATGTGATCTTATTTGGAAAAAAAGGGTCTTTGTAGGTGTAATGAAACTGAGGATCTTAGATTAAGATCATCCTGGATTTAGGGCAGGCCCTAAATATAACGACCGGTGTCTTTACTAGAGAAAGGAGAGGGAGATTTCACACACACGCACACACACACACACACAAAAAAAACACTGAGAAGATGGCATGGGAACACAGAAGCCAACTGAAGTTATGCTGCCCAAACCAAGAAATACCAGGGGACACCAGAAGCTAAAAGAGGCAAGGAAGGATTCTCTCCTAGAGCCTTCAGAAGGACCAGGACCTGTGAAAACCCTGCATCCAGACTTACCTTTAGAACTAAGACAGAATTGGGGCGCCTGGGTGGCTCAGTTGTTAAGCGTCTGCCTTCGGCTCAGGTCATGATCCCAGGGTCCTGGGATTGAGCCCCGCACTGGGCTCCCTGCTCTGCGGGAAGCCTGTTTCTCCCTCTCCCACTCCCCTTGCTTGTGTTCCCTCTCTCGCTGTGTCTCTCTCTGTCAAATAAATAAATAAAATCTTTAAAGGAAAAAAAAAACCTAAGACAGAATAAATTTTGTTGTTTTAAGACATCAAGGTCGTGGAAACTTGTTCTAGCAGCCCTAAAAAACTAATGAAAATGGCAGAATCACTTTGGCAGTTTCTTGTAAAGCTAAACAAAGAACTGAGCAATTGGAATCCTGAGTGTTTACCCAAGAGAAACAAAGACAACGACTTATACATGAATGGTCATAGCAGCTTTTTTACGTAACAGCCCCAAACCAGAAACAATCCAAATGTTCTTCAGCAACAGGTGAATGAATAAACAATACATGTAGATCCACGCAGTAGACTATCACTCAGTAATAAAAAGGAATGAACTACTGATACACAGGACACCATGAATCTCAAAAAAAAAATCTCAAAAATGCTGAGTGAAAGTAGACAGGCTCAACAGTACATACAGTTTGTTTCTATTTATATGAAATCCTAGAAAATACAGACTCATCTACAGTGATAGAAAACATTATTGATGATTGCTTGGGAGCCAAAGTGGGGAAGACACTGACTACAAATCAAGAGGAAATTTCTAGAAGGGATTGAAAGGTTCTCTATGTCAACTATGATGATGGTGTCGCAGGTGTATACACCTGTCAAAACTCGTCAATTGTACACTATAAATGGGTGCAAATTATTATACATAAATTATACCTCAATAAAGTTGATTAGAAAATAGTCATGAGTAACTGACCATTTTCTATTTAAGATTTAAAACTTAATTGCCTACACTTTGTTCTAACCAATAATATGTTCATAAGTAAATTTCAAATAAATATCAAAGGAATTCTTTAAACAGAAAGACAACTTGCTCTATTAATTCAACATGTTTCCCACGCTGAAAATGGAAAAAAGCTTTGAGTCAGAAGACCTGGTTCTGGGCCCTAGTTCCACACTTGCCTTGGGCAAGTCATGAGTTCCTCAAGCCTCAGTTTCCACATCCATAAAAGGTGGATGACAGGTCACTATCACACAGGCAAAGGGTAAGGTTTCAGTAGAGTAAAAGCTCCTTTGTCCAGAGATTCTATCTTAGTTTAAGTCATAATCCCAGTGTCTAGTAAATAATAGATGCTCAATAAATCAACAGAATGAGTAACATAAATGTAAAGCTAAAAGGTAAGAAAGACATCATACACAACACCATTGGGTGACAATTACCTCTTTCTCTGCACTGTTGTAGACTAATGCAGAAGGATCCTCCCCCCTCTAAATCCATCTTTAGTATACTATTTCACAGGCAGACTCTAGCATGAAAACTTCAGGCCCCTGGTGAAACCTTGTTACAACTCAGGTCATTATAGGACAGATTTTATATTTTTTTAAAGATTTATTTAATAAATAAATAAGAGAGAGAAATCACATAGGGAGAGGGAGAAGCAGACTCGCCACTGAGCAGAGAGCCCGATGAGGGGATCAATCCCAGGACCCCAAGATCATGACCTGAGCCAAAGGCAGACACTTAACCAACTGAGCCCACCCAGGCGCCCCCAGATTTTATATTTTAAATCCATAGAAGTATTGCCCTAAGACAAACTCACCTGCAGGATTCTAAATTCTACAAGAGCAAGAATTGTGTCTGTTTTAGTTACCATTGGTCCTCACTTCTAATATTTGCCTAATAGAGTAGGCAACATAACAGCATGTGTAAAGGCTATGTAAACAGATAAAGCAGGAAAGAGGGCCTTTTAAGAAGGCCAAAGTGGCTGATGGGTAGAGAGCAGGGAGAGTGTCATGTCCCATGAGGCTGTAGAAATAAGTAGGGTCCAAACCATGCAAGACATTGTAGGCCATGTGAAGTTTTCTCTTTCTCCTAAGGGCAACAGAACATCATGGAAGATTTTTAAACAGGTGGTTGGCAGAGGAGGGAGGAAGGAAAGGGACATGATTAGATTTGCACTTCGAAAATACCACTCTCCATAGTGTGCAGAAGAGACTGGTTGTGTGGAAGGGGACAAGGGAGTTGTTAGGGTGTAGAGTAAGTGTAGACCAACAAGGAGACTCTTGTAACATCCATTAAAGAGATAATGGTAGCTTGGTCCAAGGTGGTGGAGATAGAAAAAGTGCACAGGTTACCGACATATGTAAAAAACCAACAGGACTTGATTTGGGGAGTGAGAGAAAGGAAAACAATTCTTCTGAACCTTAAGTCTTCATATGTAAAACAGGACTATTGATACTGCATCTGCATAATATCTATCTCACAATCTGCTATGGTAAGACTATGAAATAATATAAATTTTACGAACTTAACGCAGATCCTGACATGTAATAAAAGCTAAATAAAAAAAAAAAAAAAGAAGAAGTCGCTGTAGATGTTATTACTGCCATCCATGGAATGGCAACTACCAGAAGCCAAACCCCAAAGGTGGAAAATAGGATTGTAGTTAGATTCATATCCGCTGTGCTGAAGACAACAGGCAACCACTGAAGACAACTGTTCCAAATAAACACATCTGACCGCACAGATACTTCATCTGAACCAATCCCGGTCCTCAGAAACCATTACTGAAGAGAAAGAACAACTGTTACGATCACAGTCATCCCGGTAAACTGAGGCACCAGGGTAGCTCCAAATTTGACCAAGGAATGAAGTGCAGAAGCAGGAAAAGGAAATGGGTGTCGTGATTCTCACTGGTGAGCAGATCCAACAGGACTAGGCCTGCATCCTGACCAGCATGAATGTATACCCCCCAATGTCTCTGGTTCCCTTACTGACAAGGCCCTGTCATCCCTTGGCTTAAGACCCTGAGTCCGCTTGCCATGCAACCAAGCCCTTCCGGTTCCCGGCCCCTAGCTACAAGTGCACGAAGGATCCCAGACTCCCGAAAGGCCGACATACCTTAGCTTCGCGCTCTCGTTCCTCGGCGGTCGGGGTCCGCTTCATGCTGCCGCTACAGCCGCCTTCGCCACTGCTAGCCGCGTAGATCCCTCTCCCTGGACCCCGCCTCCTGCTTGTAGTTCTCTCAGCCTCCTGCTCCCGCCCGGCGCCATTCTCCATCCGAGCCACGAGAACTACCATTCCCAGGATGCAAGGCGGCGGCGCTCGAGAGCGCCTCAGGGTTTGGGGCACGAGCATTTCCCAGGGCCAACAGCTCCTCAGCGAGCGGGCGGGCTAGGGCTGGAGCAAAACTACATTTCCCAGGAGGCAACGGAGCCTGCCATGTTTTTCCCGTGCTCCTCTCGGCCAGCCGCCCAACACGCCGTCGGCGCTATAGCAACGGTAGCTAGCCGCGGGGAGAGAGTGGCGGTGAGTACTGCGGGGGAGTCGAGGGGGACGGAGGTGGCCCACCCTCTACCTGCAGCACGGGTCGGGGTCCTGGGGTCAGCTCTACGCCCTAGAGAAGGCACTAGAGTTCTCCTCGCGTGGAAAGCAGCCCAGCACGAGACCACATCCTCAGGCCTGAATCACAGCCCGCGCATTATCCCCACGCCCAGCACCGGTTTGAAATTTTATATATATCCCAGCCGTAAACCCTAGCTGATGAGAATTGATGCTAATTGCCGTGCCTCTCCAAGTCCTTCAAGTAGAAGGGCACATAAACACAGTTCTTTCATTAGCCCTGGGTTAAGGGTTGGTTGGTAGACCCTTAAGACTCCTGAATGGCCTATTGTTTGCTTAATTATTTATAATTATGTGTTTATCGTCTGATTACCCCCATAGCTTATTAACTACATAAAGGCAGGGATTCTGTTTACCATTTTAGTCTCAATGCCAGGTATTCATTTAATCATGAAGTAAATATTAATCTCGGTACCAACCTTGCCCCAGACACTATTCCCTACTGCTGTGAATAGGGCTGATACCCATCTCGAGATGCTTATACTTTATTAGTGGAGACAGACTAGTAATGAGCTAGTAAACAAGATAATTTTAGGTAGAGATGATTGCTACAACGGAAATAAACAGTGAAGAATTTGGGAGGAAGAGTACTCTGACAGAAGGTGATCAGGGAAGGCATCTCTGAGGAAGTGACATTTGAGCTGAGCGCCAAAGAATGAGGAGCCAGCTAATGCAAAGGCTTTGAGCAAGACAAGGGTACCGTGGATTTGAGGAACCTAAAGGAGTGTTGAGTGGAGCGTGGTGAGCAAGGAGAGTTAACATTAGATGGTATTGAAGAGGTGTGACAGCACTGTGCAGGGTTTGTCAGTCTCCGCGCTATTAATATTTGGAGCCGGATAATTCTTTGTGGTGGTGCCTGTGCACTGTAGGGTGTTTAACATCATCTCTGGCCTCTAGATGCCAGTAACACTGCCACCTTCCCAATCATGACAATCAAAAATATGACAGACAACCACCTCTTAGATACGTAACGTTGGGCAAATTACCTAAGCTGTGTCTTGGTTTTGTTCATTTGTAAAGTGGGAATCATTTGAGTAGCAACCTCACAGGGATATTGTGAGATACTTGATTAATTCGTATTATCGGAGCACTTGGAAGAGCGCCTGGCACATTTTAGTAAGCATTCAGTAAATGTTAATACCACCACCACCATCATCATTATTATAAAAGTTACCATAACTCTATCATGGCAGAGTTAATCATTTTCACAAGTGTCCTATGTTTAAACTGCTTGATAATTTGGTTCCTAAAACTGATCTTTCCTGTAGCAATGTTTCCAAAAGAAGTAGAAAGTGATCCCTCAGGTATATGTCTGTTCTTTGTTTATGCCACAGCTAAATGCATTTGACCTTTGACAAGTTATAATAAAGGTTATGAACCCTTTCCCTAAAGATATTGCATATACACATATGCATACAAGATCTTATAAACCATCTCTTGGGTCTACAGACCCTAAAGCTGCATGGGTTCCATTCATTCAGCAACTATTTAGCGAATGCCTGCTATGTGCCAAGCTCTGTGTTGGCCTCTGAGAATACCGTGCAGAGATGCACAAGACAAATAAGCTGGGTATTCTCTTGGACTTTACATTCTAGGCCCAACATTCTAGAGATTGAGAACCTTTGCCTTAGGGCATCTTCATTTGGCTTTTGGGGTGGTTTGAAATGAAAATATAAAATCTTTTTTTTTCTACATACTAGACATTGCACGGACCGTTTATAATAACCACATACAAAACTGAGTTACTGTGGTGCATCTCTGAAGAATAGGAACTGTAAAGATACCAGAATTAACTGGACAGCTTGTATGTTGAGGTAGGAAGCCCTGGGACTAGGCCTCATGGCAACAAAGAAAGGACAACAAAAACAAACTCAGCTGGTGAATTTATGAAACATCTTTGATAAAACTTGGACCTACCCGCTCATTTGTACACCAAGCTAAAAATTAATATTCAAGTAATATTGACATCCCAGGCAAATGTGCTAACTGCTTTTAATTTGCCATCTCACCCTTGGAATAACTCTGTGAGATAGCTGTTATTTTCTCCATTTTTAAAGTTAAAGAACTGTGGCAACTGGCTGGCTCAGTTTTCAGTAGAGCGTGTGACTTTTGATCTCGTGTTGGGGGTAGAGTTTACTTAAAAAATATATATATAGGGGCACCTGGGTGGCTCAGTCGGTTAAGCATCTGCCTTCGGCTCAGGTCATGATCCCAGGGTCCTGGATCAAGTCCCGTATCCGGGCTCCCTGCTCAGCGGGGAGCCTGCTTCTCCCTCTACCTGCCATTCCGCCTGCTTGTGCTCCCTCTCTTTCTCTGACAAATAAATGTTTATATATATATATATAAAACAAAGTAAAATGACTTTTAAAAAAATAATAATAAAATAAAATTAAGGAACTGAAACTCAGCGAGATTAGGTGACTCGACCAGCTAGTAAATAATAGAACAACCATTTGAATCAAGTTTTCCGACTAGGTTTTTTCCAAGATACCTGCTTGCTTTTGGGGGCAGGGAAGGGGGTGGGGGGACGGAGAGGAAGTATTTCTTAAATTTGGGGGAATTGTTTTTGTTCAGATCAAGAAATAAAAAGAGAGAAGGAAGAATGATATTCTTACCTCATTTCCTAAGCAAACTATAGGAAATATACTGTTGAAAGGAACACTGATTGAATGTAGTATTGTTTTTAAAATAGAAGCTTTCACCTTCTTCAAGCAGCACATCTGGACAATAGATGTCCGTTAAAGTCATAATGCTTTATTCATTTTATTTGGTCCATTCCATTGCATAGTTAATGTTATACGTTGGAAAGATCTTATTTGAATTTTCTTTTCTCCACAGATAGGCCATGTCTCGTCCCACTGATGAGACGGCAGGAGACCTTCCTGTGAAAGATATAGGTCTAAACCTCTCTGGAATGGGAGGGTTACAAGGTATGGCCAGCTGTTATTTATTATCGTTATGAACTTTGATCAGTAACTTCTTTTCTTTTAATTTAAAATATTTCTGATATCCTTACAAACGAAGCCATTTAAGTAACTATATAGCTCTTGATTGGACTAAACAGGAACACGGAGAGTTTAGAACAACATATGGTATTTTACTGCATGCATCAATTATCAACAGCTCATAGAAAATGTAAAATCCCCCTCTGTTCTGATAAAGAATTGTTATAAATCATCTTTTTAAAATTCCACACATCAGTAGAAACTACACAGTATCAAGCCTCCAAACCGAATTGCCTGGTTTAAATCACATTCACCATTAAAATGTTTCTTTATGTTTAAATTTTATATGGGGGGAAATGCCATATTTAAAAAATTTTGCCTTTCAAGTAGAGTATCTCAAAATGGTTTGTTTATCCAAGTGATACTGACTTTGTTTTATCAAATTACTATACATTAAAGGTTTCCTTTATCCTTTTATCACTTAGTGGTTGCCCTAGAGCTAAAAAGTCACTTTCAAATTGAGAATGAAAAACACTGCTTTGAGGAACAATTCAGAGTGTGGAGCTGTGTTTTTGTTTGTTGTTTACGTGTCAGCTGTGCTCTCATGCTACTGCATTTGTCATTGAGACTGCTGTGATATCAAATATATTCCACTAAGGTGTCTTCATACCCCTGTTAATTAGAACAATTCGAGTGGCCACCTTGAACTACCACAGAAAGGTGGTCAATGCATTGTTCATTGAAAAGGATAAATTTGACTATACAGGTTTTATTTTTGAAAGTAAAAAGTATGTATAAGCTTTGCTTTAGATCTTTGGTGGAGTCCTAGGTATTCAAATACAAATAAATGTCACTTGTGCAAAGCTATTTATTGGAATTTGCTACCTTAAGTTCAATTCTTGTCCTCAGTAACCCGCCATAGGGGCTTTAACCTTTGTCCACTTGTTCTTTGTTTCTTTTGGATGATTAATGCAAATTAGCCAGTGATATGGGAAATACTAAATTTAAGCATATGTAAAAAATCATATACACATGTTAAAAGGCATAAAAGTTCTTTAAAAATACATAAGATAGAGCGCCTGGGTGGCTCAGTCCTTAAGCATCTGCCTTCAGCTCAGGTCATGATCCCAGGGTTCTGAGTCCCATATCGGGCTCCCTGCTCGGCGGGAAGCCTGCTTCTCCCTCTCCCACTGCTTGTGTTCCTGCTCTCGCTCTCTCTCTCTGTCAAATAAATCTTAAAAAAATAATAATACATAAGATAGCTTATAAATGATTTTTGAAGGTTTGTTGTTTGTACTTGCAAATTACAGTTTATTTTCTAGAACCCAAAACCCATACATAGCTCTGAAAAATATCCTGCATTCACCAAATTATAACTCTTGCCTCCGTAAAAAAAAAAAAAAATACTTTTAGATAATCTGACTTTTGTTTTTTTCAACATTGAGCACATAAGTTGAAAAGTCTTATTGAATCAGGGTTCCATCTTACATTCTTAAAGAATGGTTACCTAAATACCATTTTGAATGGATACCATTATTGTTCAAATCCTTAATATTACTTGTAAACTTTTAATAGCAAAGATTATTATTCTCCCCTGTGATTGGTGATGTAAACAACACTGTAATATTTTCTAAAACAATCTTAATGGTCACAAAGGGAAAAAGATGAGTGCATCGGAGATTATATTAATATCAACAGTTATCATTTTTAGAGACTATTTTAAGTAATCCCACTATTAATTACCTTGGCATTTTTACAGAAACTTCAACAACACGGACAATGAAGTCTCGCCAGGCAGTGTCACGTATCAGTCGTGAGGAACTGGAAGACAGATTTTTGCGTTTGCATGATGAGAACATTTTGCTTAAACAGCATGCCCGCAAGCAAGAGGATAAAATTAAAAGGTTATGATAAAAAGCTTTTAGCTTTTTCTCCTGACTCTGTAAAGTTTGGATGATATGCTTTTTTATAAACTTAATTGAAAACTCCACCTGGAATCTTTTTTGAAACAAGGCAGGTTGTAAATAAATACAATTTTTAAAAATGGAAGATCTTAAAAACTAGAATAATAAACCAAAAAGATGATGAGTGTTTATTATGTCTTAAGTTGCTATTTGAAAGAAAGAGCTAATAGCTAAGAGTGCCACAAGTATATCATATCTATAAATAACTTATGGTTTAATATTTATAGTTTAATAAGCAAATGACCAAAGCATCTGTTTTTTAAATGCCTTGGTTTAAAATGAAAGTTCAAAAAAGTAATTAGCTATCCTAATTTGTTAGAATGCATGTTCCCGTAAGATTTGGGGTTTACTAATGAGAACATCACTTCAATAGCTGGAACATGTTTAATTTGCTTGGATGAGTCTAGAATCTCTATTTCAAAGAGTCTCTACTGTTTCTGAAGAAACATTGTCACTTGATTTGTGTGCAAAAAATTTTTGCTGGGATAACTTCTTAAGAGTAGATATTCTTTCATACCTTCTTGTTCAAGAAACACTTTGACTATCTTCTGAATGTGTGGCATTAAAAACAAAAAAGCACATTCCCATTTGTAAGCTTCCACAGGCCTGTATTCATATTCATGTTCTAGGTAAAATGAAAAGGTGAGACAGCTGTGGAAGAAAGAAGATGGGGGGCAGGGGGTTGGGAGGATTCTGCTTAGAATGCATCCTAAAGGGGTAATTCTAGTTCAGGTTCTACTCTGTGAACTTTGTTTTAATGACCCACTGACCTACTGTGTATGGCGCTTTTACTTTGAGTTCGTTTTTGAGTCATGGTAATGTCTTTTTTCAAGACATGTGACTCACTTGCCTGATTCCTTTTCTGACCAGTAACACACACGTGTCCTATCAGAATGAGGAGTGAACTCTGTGACCACTGAGCAATTTTTTTTCCTTTGTAAGCCTAATTGCTCACTAAAATAATTGAATTCACAACCTTGACCTCATTAGTAATTTGTCCTAGCCAGAAAATATAAAACAACCTAATAATGAGCCATGTAGCTTAATGAAAAAAGGACTCGGCTAGGAGTCAAGCTGTATGCATGTGTTCTATTATTTCTCTGCCACTGGCCTGTGGTATTATGTTCAAGCCATTTAACCTCCTGCGATGTTATTTTACTTAGCCTTGAGAGCAGTGATCCAATGACCACTCTGACCCAAAGCTCTAAAATCCTTCTGAATTTCACACCATGGACACTACCTAGAGGCACATGTAGAACTGCTCTTATTTTTTTTTTTAATTTTTAAGTAATCGTCACACCCAATCTGGGGTTTCAAACTTACAACCCCGAGATCAAGAGTCGTATGCTCTACCAACTGAGCCAGCCAGATGCCCCAGAACTGCTTTTAAACTTATCCTTAAGATGTAATTAGTATCACATTAGCATAAATGTAGATTTGATAAACCACCTTTTTAAGTAAGTACTCAAACTTTACCAGATCACATACAATGCATTAATACCACAAAATAACATCAAACAGATGAAAATTACTGCTTTTACAGGACAAACAAGTAATCTTGTTTCTTGACAGAAAGTTTACTTGAACATCCTTGAAGGAATTTAAAACCACTCTACTAATGTACTTTTCTTTCCTTAAAAATTTGGGTTCATTTATTATTCTCCATATGTTGTCTTTTTTTTTAAATATTATACCTGTGTCTTTTGAGTGTGATCTCTATCTCCGTGATAGTCTCTCTGAAACAAAAGATTCAGATATTTAGGTTGACATCTCAGTTAGATGGCAACCATATTTCTATGGCTAAGCCATTGGGCGGGGCAAAGGATCCTAAACTCATTAAAGGGCTAGATAGAATGTGTGGCTCTGCTGGGCTTATGATACCTGCCCAAATTTCCCAATGATATATCATCCTCTGCATTCGGTGGAAAAGGAACTAATCCATTGATTATTTTACTAGGGTGTTTGTGGTACTCTTGGATCTTGGTTTTTATTATCCTATATCCCTTATAAAGCATGTTTAATGGATTTGCCTCAAGGGAAAGAGAAAACAATCTTAACTGATTATGTTATGCATAGCTCTCCCTGATGCCACATGCTGTAGGCCGAGTAGCCAGAAGTGTAGATAGACATGTATTACTACTGCTTTTACAGAGGACTCTGCTTAGGGCAAAAAAGGTTGTTCTATGACATCCCAAAGCTATTAAGCATTTTTTTATTTCACTTTTGTTCTCTTAAGTAAAAGCTTCTGTCCATAACCATGCTAAAATAAAGCAAACCCCGTTTAAAGAAAAATGAAGTGAGTTTTTATTTTCAATCTCCGTCTGGCTCTTTATAAAAATAGATTCACTGTAAACTAGAATCAGCTATTGAAGATGTGCGACCAATTTTGTAAAGTCTTGAACTTGTGTCTCTCATCAAAGCCACCTTTTCTTTCTTGTCCTGCCAAGATTTTTCCATTCACTGTCAGGCATGTTTTCCGTACGTGTATATTACATCACCCCCATGTGCCCTTTCTGTCTTTTGTTCTGTCTAACCAGTTTTTATCAAAACTTAAAAGAATGAAAGGTATAAACTCCTAAGATGTCAAAAGCACAACTTATGTCTAAATTTAAAGGTAGCATTAAAATAATACTTTCTGCATCTAAGTATTTTCTACCATTAAACATGAATGTTTCTTGGGCACTAAGCAACATTTAGTGGCACGTTTTGGTTTCTCTGAATTTTTCGTTGGGCTCTTTATCTGTGTGTACCTATGCATCCTAACATTTTTGTATTTGTAACACATCTTAATCTTAGAGAACCTGAAAACAGTTCACCTAAAACATATCACCTACATGCTGCATAGTCTTAACACACTTTTCAAAAAGTTGTAACTTACTGTGGCTCACATCTATAACCCACCAACATCCTCAATCTGTAGCTGCATTTAAGTGCATACAGCATTCCTACATAAGGTCATGCGTTAAAAATTGCATTTGAGGAACATATGGAGTAAATATGTGTCCTCTCTTTACTAACCTTAAATGATAAGCCTTAGGAAACTGTTATTTGTCAGTGCTATAAAGCAGATTGTTGCCCAGTGGTTTCAATTATCATCAAAGGATTCTTCACAGGCAGTAATAGTTACATCAAAACCTGAAATTTATTATTCAGGTTCTGCACTGAAGTCCTCACAGTGATTATGTTCCTTTCAACAGAATGCATTTTATGCTGACTTCTCACATTCCTTTTCATCTTTTTATTATTTCCCTAGAATGGCCACCAAGTTAATACGGCTAGTTAATGACAAGAAAAGATATGAGCGGGTTGGTGGCGGCCCCAAGCGGCTGGGACGAGATGTGGAAATGGAAGAAATGATGGAGCAGCTGCAAGAGAAAGTTCATGAGCTTGAAAGACAGAATGAAGTCCTCAAAAACAGACTCATTTCAGCCAAACAGCAACTTCAAATCCAGGGTTACAGGCAAACACCATACAATTATGTGCAATCTCGTGTTAATACTGGGCGTAGAAAAGTGCATGAAAATGCAGGCGTACAAGAATGCCCCAGGAAAGGTAAAATAAGCTTATATTAAATCCTAAATGTAAGTCTTTTAGTAGGCTGTTTTAACATGCATGCACACACACAGTATTTCTGTATTTCTCAGGTTTTTAAGTACCTTTAGAAATAGGAAAATAGTTTTATGACTTGCGTTTTGATAAAATGTTAATAATAACATGAAAACTATTTGTTGAGTAAAACACTGGACGTAATTATTTATCCTGATATGAGAGACATGTGTGAAACTGTATAAAATAGTTTATTTTGAATTGGTTTTCTGTATTGCAGACAGAAATCACATTGACTCAGGCAAATGGGGAAACCAGCTAGTTTGCTTATTTATGATCACACTTTCTGTTTTGAATGATCACAATTTCTTTGTCAAAAGACCTCTTTTAAAATTTGCAGAATTGTTTAAATCTCTCATCGTGTGGAGGTAGCATGACAATGCAACGTGCACATAACAAGGGTTTAAAAAATTGTGTTCTTACTCCTCTACTTACTATCTGGTGACCTTGGACAAGTCATCTAATCATTCTGAACTTGCTCCTTCCATGTAAAATACAAGGATTTATGCAAGGGACCATAAAGGTCTCCTCCATCTCCAAAAATGATCATAGGTCAGTCACTTTCCTCATTTTGAGAATGAATCACCTAAAACCTACCCACACAAAGCAGTTCAGTTGCATAGATGAAACTTAAAATAGGAAGAACCTAAATATTTCTAGTAAAAATTCCCAACTCTCCCCACCCATGGACAAACTTTATTTACAATGAGGTGAAAAGTCAATAAATATTTTAAGTAACATTTTTTAAATTTCAACTACTAGGGAAGGAATTAAAATTGTAGCTGCAATTGATCTTCGTTTGGAACATGCTTCACATAAAGACCAAACATTTTGAGGGACACAAAAAATCATGTAAAACGTTCAATTCATCGAGGAGGACAAAAAATGCCATATAAACAGAAAAGGAGAAAATTTTCTTCTGTTCTTTTCTCCAAGCCAAAATATGGACACTACCTCTTCCCCAGGCAGAGTTCCCTTGAACTCAATAAGGCCTCCATATAGGCAGGAGGCAGCTGCAGAATGAAAGGGCTCAGCTACACCTAGCTTGTGAGACTGGCAGTAGACTTTGATATAACCAAAGCAATCATAGCACATTATAAGTTAGGAAATACACTGTGCTGCTAATTAACTTTCTACTTGGAAGAGAGCACTTGACCTCTCAGAGCCTCATTTTTCCCATCTGTAAAATGGAGTTATAACACCAGATGAGAAAAAAGGTCAAAAGATGGCAACTCCATGGTAGTGTATTTTACCTTCCAAAAGTCAGTTACCCTCTCTCAACCTTAGTTTGGTCATCTGTAACTGAAGCAGGGCAAGATGATCTCTAAGGTCTGTAAGGTCTTTGATACTAAATAAAGAAGCAATGCCCAAATTGTAGATTAACGTGGCAAACTCATCTACGGCTATGAATTGCTGTTTAAATAGAAGAGTCCTATAGGGGAAAAAAAAAAAAGGAGCCACAGAGCAGCACAGTCTTTAAAATGTGACTAGAAAGTTTAAATTTCTCCTTGTGTTTATACACTCTTAGTAATTCAGACCTTTTTCGCTGTCTGGTACAGAGTCCAAGATGTAGAAGCTGCACAAAGCACTCGATAGTGATGAATATTTTCTCAACCATTATCTTTCTGAATAAACTTGAGGCACCATCATCAGGGTGGATAGCTTAGTAATCTTAATAGCCTCTTCAAGACCACCTTTGAGCCTGGGACTTAACGCCATACTTGTCAGAAGTATCACAGGGTAGCATGGCTAGGTGAGAACACTAGACTCTCCCTGGCTACAGGCAGCCTTGCCCCCAAGCTGCAGTACACATATTCCATTTTTCTATATGTTCCTGGTCAAGAGAAGGAATGGAAAGTACTGGTTTAAGGTGTGATCGTTGTAATATAGAAACAATCCTTATTGTGAGGAACCAGTAGAACAAAGATCCTTATAAGCTGTGTATGCCTTAAAATGTAACCATTGACAAACCACTGGTACACAATAAATTTTAAGATTATTTTAAGGATGGAGCGCCTGGGTAGCTCAGTCGTTAAGCATCTGCCTTCGGCTCAGGTCATGGTCCCAGGGTCCTGAGATCGAGCCCCACATCGGGCTCCCTGCTCGGCAGGAGGTCTGCTTCTCCCTCTCCCACTGCCTCCTGCTTGTGTTCCCTCTCTCGCTCTCTCTCTCTCTGTGGAAGGAAGGAAGGAAGGTAGGTGGGAGGGAGGGAGGGAGGGAGGAAAGGAGAAAGGAAGGAAGGAAGGAAGGAAGGAAGGAAGGAAAGAAAATCTTTAAAAAAAGATTATTTTAAGGATAAGTAGATTTTTTTTTAAATTTTTCTAGTGATGTTTAGTTTTTCCATGATTTATGTAGGAAAAGCTTAAGAATTAGCATTACAGGGGCACCTGGGTGGCTCAGATGGTTAAGCGTCTGCCTTCAGCTGAGGTCATGATCCCAGGGCCCTGGGATCGAGTCCCGCATCAGGCTCCCTGCTCGGCGGGGAGCCTGCTTCTTCCTCTGCTTCTCTCTCTCTCTCTCTCTCCCTCTGTCTCTCATGAATAAATAAATAAAATCTTTAAAAAAAAAAAAAAAGAATTAGCATTACAGCCAAAATTGGCAAATTTTAACACAATAAACTATTTTAATGGTTTTAGGCAGAGTTTTCTGGTCTTTAGTCTGGACTACAACAATAGATGTTGAAAATTTTGGAAATAGCAAATAATAGTTCCATTCTAATTAAAAATAAACTTTCTTAAAAGACTGAATTTTGTCTGTACCTTATATCTGAGACTATGCTCCATGAAAAATCTGAATTATTTGTCATAATTTTATCTACCTTAAGCTCTAGTAATTTATTTTGTAAGTGTAAAGTAGTCATATAACTAAAATTATGTCTCATTTTTAACAATGGGACTAGACTTGTAAAAATGTATCTATTTTTACAAGAAAAATAAGGGCAGCAGCAAAATGTTTTATTTAAAGGAATCTCATTGGTGATCCCTTTTTGAATTACCTCTGTTTAAATATGTATTTTCTTATTGAGATGGAATAAACGAAAGTACAGGAAACATTTTGACTTAAACGTATCTGTGAGTCACACAAATGAAGACAAGGTTCAATATATAAGGTCAAGGAATGTGAATAACTACTTAAAAATTTTTTTAAAAATCTATATCAAAAATACCAAGAAAAAGGTCAAGATTTTGAAATCTTTTTCCTTCATACTTTAGCTTATATTATAAAGCCCTGACTTTAGTTCTTTCAGAAATGAATTTAGGGGCGCCTGGGTGGCTCAGTCGTTAAGCATTTGCCTTCGGCTCAGGTCATGATCCCGGGATCCTGGGATCAAGTCCCGCATCGGGCTCCCTGCTCTGCGGGAGGCCTGCTTCTCCCTCTCCCACTCCCCCTGCTTGTGTTCCTGCTCTCGCTATGTCTCTCTCTGTCAAATAAATAAAATCTTAAAAAAAAAAAAAGAAATGAATTTAGTTGTCCTAAATCTAAGTTGAATCAAAATATTTCTAGTAATTTGGTTTCCATGGTAGAGTTTGTTTAATTTGCAATACCTGCTGCTATGTACATTTAATGCCAATGGTAGTCCCTTTGGCAATGGATTTCTGATCTCTGTACTACAAAGCACATCTCTCAGTACTTAAGAAATTTTCTTATATTGCAAATTTCTTCATGATAGCAAATCAAGAGCCCTTCTTTCCCAACTTCACTTTTATAATCTTACTGATTGACTTTTAGGTATTAGATTCCAAGATGTCGATGTAGCAGAAACTCTACAACCCATGCTTACAAAATATGGCAACTGTTTACTTGAAGAAGCCAGAGGAGAAATAAGAAATTTGTATGTATTATTTTTGTGGTCATTTTAGAACTTTGTTTATTGATCATGTCTTTTTTGATCCCTCCCTTTCCTTTATTTTAAACACAATTGGTTTATGTACAAATAATTTGCTCCACTAAATACATCTAGATCTGTGGGGTAAGAACAGATATTATATAAGATGTTTCCAATAAAATGAGGAAAATGAACAACTTAACCAACTACATCAGTGGAGGGGTTTATAGAATAGTCCTCTATATTATAATTTCCCCCCCAAAGGAATGGCATAAAGCCCAGTCATTTAGAATAGTATAAGCTTTAGGGGCAACATTTCCATTCTCAGAAAAATTACAGGTAATTTTTTTTTAGATCCTGAATTAATTAGCCTTTTTGCGGTTAAAAAAAAAAAAAACTGGAGGGAGTGGCTTAAAAGTTTGGAGTTATCAAATACATATGGATTTCAGATTTTGTTTCACTGTGATTCTACGGTACTGCATTCTTCATCATACTATGGTTTCAAAAAAGTTACTTCTGCCACATTTAGCTTACTTTCCCAGTTAATCAAAGCCTTATGGTTTCAGTGTCTGTGAGTCACACAAATGAAGATAAGGTTCCACCTTTCCTACAGGCCTTCACCTGGATCATCAAAAAGTAACAATTCTGAATGAGGAAAGAAAACATGAAATAGCATCACACTTTAGACAGTTGCTTAAGAATAATATGGGCTTCAAATTACTTCTTTTGAATATTTTAAATACCAGTTACAGCAATGACTAGCCTGCAAAGGAATAAAAGCAGAAGACTAAACCTAATCTTGTTACCTGCTAATCAGCTGAAAAAACAGGGTTCATAGGAGTTTCCTGAGGCTTATTACACTGGGATGCTGCCAAACATGGTAGAGATAAATACGTGCAAAAAAAAAAGCTGTTATGTTTTGCAAATTCTTGCTCTCTCTCTCTGAAATGTTAAATTGAGTGATCTAGGCATATGTACACAGGAAAGAACAAAAGCATGTAAATTATCTGAAGATGCACAGATTGTGGAATATGTAGTAGGTAACCAATAAATACTGAATTGAATTGAATTGAACCGAAGTCCAGGTTATCGTCTAGGACATTATTGTATAAAAAGCAGTATTTTGAATTATTCCATATGCATTTCTAAGTCATCCCATTTAATCTATTCACTATATGCAGAGGCACTTAAGCTAAAATTTTTAGCTTGCTCTTTATTGTGAAGAACTTTCTTTTTACTGATCTTGAATATTGCAGGTTTTTCCTCAAACTACAAATTCTTGTAAAGGTTCTTTATTTCAGAGAAAATGTTATTCAGTCACAGAGAGGCCAGATTGAAGAGTTAGAGCACTTGGCTGAGATCCTGAAAACTCAGTTGAGGAGAAAAGAAAATGAAATTGAGTTATCTCTTCTTCAGCTTCGAGAACAGCAGGCTACAGATCAAAGGTATGTTAAAACAGAAATATCACTTTGATAAGGTCAAAATTAGTTTAAAATACTTTATCATGTGCCATAGAAGGATAAGTCTAGCCTATTTTAAAAATCATGTTTTCACTTAACATTCTTCATATAAGCCTACTCTAGACCTACTAACTGCTCTCAACAGCTCGAGTGGAAGGGCATTTTTCCCTAACCTACTCTGCCTCATCTTGTTTCCCCCACTCGTTTGTCCATTTGTTGCACTTACCATAACTGCAGGAAGTTCTGATGCCATTTGGGTGCACCTACCAAGGGAAATATGCGTGACAAGGACCCTGCTGTTGACACGTCTTGTGAATAAGTCCAGCCTCATATAATTTTTTTCAAAGTTAAAAAAATTCCATAACATGGTACCAGTTTTTTGAGTCCCAAAAAGATGTTTGTTACCTCTCCTAACATTCAAAATTTGCTTCAAATTCCGTTGATTATTGTGGAGTCCAGTGGGACCCTTCAGCAGTCTCCTTGCTGCCTCTTCATTTTGGATATTTTATAATGTACTGTATTTTCTTTCCCATCCTCCTCTGTCATTTTTGGTTCCTAATACCTTTCCCCTGTTTTGTACTTCCACACTGTGTTTCCAACAAGACTTTATCTTCTTACTATATTCTTCCTTGAGTCATTCTCCCCTTCCTTCCTTTTTTCTTTCCCTTTGTTTCCTTTTCTTGCCTTTCTGTTTGTTTTAATGGACCAAGGATACCCAGAAGCGGAGGGAGTGGTGCATTAAATTGCCAGGTACCCAGCACTTAGCTTAAACAATCAGTAACATGTGCCCAATCTTATTTCACCTGTCCCTTCACCTTTATTTTCTTCAATTAATTAACCCCAGCCAGATAAGATGTCATCTCTCCTAGGAATACTCCAGTATATATCTCTGATCGGCAATTTTTTTAAACATAATACCATGCCATTATCGCACGTGAAAAAATTAACGGCAATTCCTTGATACCCTCTAACAACCAGTCTACATTCAAACTTCCTGAACGTGTCTCCCCTGTTTGTTTGAAATGGAATTCACATGAGGTCTACACATTGCATTTGACATCTCTTGTGTCTCTTTATTTCTCAATGTTTTTTAAACCAGACCTCGGTCCTCTGTTTGTTTTTCCCCTCTCCAGCGTATATGATCTGATGCTTATGTGGCTAGGTTCTCATTTAGAAAAACCAATATGATTTTCTAGTTTCTCATTTTGGATTCAGAGTTTAATCCTCCTTTAACAAACTAACCTGCCATGGTAATATTTGAAAAAACTAGGAAAGGATGCATCATATGAGACTTATTTTAAAAACAATAAAGTGGGCTGAAAATATATAAGAGGCTTTATATTTCAAAGATTCAAAAGATTAGTATTATCTCTGATAATATATAAAGTTAAATTACATAATAAAATTCTGTATATTTAGTGATATTCATATGCCCTTCTAAGGGCAGGGCAAAAGAAACCTGAGTATTTTTGAGAATTATATTAGGTGATACAATTTGAACGCTGGCTTTGAACCAGCTTGAATACCTAGGAGTTATCTCTGTTCCCCTAGGAAGAAGAACTGATTAGACTTGGTCTTCTTGGAAAACCAAGGCATGATTCCTTATGAGGAACAGTGCTAAAGGACCAGACCCCAACACTGAATCTGATCTTAATAAATTGCTAACAGCCATATTTAAGTTACTATCTAAATATAAAAATTCTATGCTTAGACCAAGCCCAAGCTTAGAGCCCACCCCTGTCACCTTTACTCAACAGCTGAGTACTAGGTTATCAGAGACTACTTCCTCTGTTACATTTCTTGAATTCCCAAAGACTAGGATGGACACTGTGTTGGCCATTGCCTCTTCCAAAGGGATATGATCGTCTAGGAACTGAAGTGTTCAGTGTTCATTAAAAGATCCAAAAGTCCTTCAATCCAGGACTAGAACAGCAGAAGAAATGGAGTGATAGGCATGCATGGTTTCTCCTATAAATATTGTCAGCAAGAGACACCAACATATACACCTAGACGAGTTCACCTTAAAAACTAAACTAAGGCCCTCCTTAGGGAACTATATTATTCACTTGATAACAGTCTCTTTTGTCACATCAGGAATTAGAAGTAAGACAAAATGAGTCTTATAGGTAAAGGGACTTTTGTTGAAGAGGCCAAAGAAATAAACCAATTTGTATCCTACCTCACTGATTTTATAATATTGAAAATCACATTATTTGCTTAGAAAGGAAAGGTACCTTTAGTAAATAGCACATTGTTCCTTGAAATACAGTTGTTGAAAACTGAAGAAATGACTTCCAATAAAGGTCTTTAAGTCTTTTTTTTCTTGTATGTTTACACATAGCTCAAAATTTTATGTATAACAATTTTTTGAGACTAATGGAAAACTGTTGAAAAAAAGGTTGGGGAGAATATAAAACTTGGTATAATTTACTGTAAAGAAAAATCACAAAATGGAAAACATATTTAAACTTCTCTTTCACGGATACATTATTTCAAATTTGAAATTCTAGAAGTCTGATCAGGATGTTGGGCTCCTTGTTCTCAAACATGAACCTAACATAGTCGTAATCTTCAGAGTGCAGTGCTTGATATTTATGGCAAAGAGCCTTTTCATAGAATATTACAGAAACTCTTCATAGTATGTGTTTAATAGACCAGTTTGGTTTGGCATCAACTTGACATAAACTTTTGGTTATCCAAAGCCCTTAATTGCTTTGAAGTAAAAGCCCAGTGCTGTTCTTTTTTATTAAAATCATGTTTTTTCCTGTTATTGTGGTCTATTTTGGAAGACTGAGTTGTGATTTTTGCATATGTTCTACATAATGCCTCATTAGCAAAAAATCTTGTATCATTTACAAGTAGCCTGAATGTCTGTGTTGTTTTGAACAAAAATCCATATTAAAATTTAAACAATATAAAAATGCACATTTTCTGCTTATTAAAAAGGCCGTCTTAAATTAAATGCAAAGCAGTAACCAGTGAACACATGTACATGAACATTAAAATCAGAATGATTTTACCTTTTATTAGCTTTTTCAACTCCAAAAGTATTTATACTCTTACCAAATGTGTAACTAGTTTGTACTAAGTGGTTTTTTTAGTAAATGTTAGGGTGTTTACCTTCTTAATTAAAAATCATGTAAGTTCCATCATATCCCAGTGGAGGAAATTTAACCTATAAATGTTCCAGACACTCTGGCCCTCTTCCCTTTGGTTGACAGCAGACTGTCATATCTTAGAGAATCCTTTTGCAGCCATGCAGTGTAAGAAACAGCTTGGCTCTAGGGGTTCCATCTTTCCCTTCTAGGCACATACAGGGTTACTTCCTGATACTCTTAAGTTCTTCCCCAGCTTTTTATTTTGAAAAATCGCACACCTACAGAAAAGTTGTAGGAATAGTCACGTGAACACTCACATACATTTCACGTCTTTGTGTATTTGTGAATGACAGAAACCTGTTCTGCATTCTGCACGCACATGCATGAGCACTTTGCTCTCCTCTCCCACCCTCTCTCCCTCCTGCCCTCCCTCTCCCCCTCCCACGCCCCCGTCTGAGAGTTAGACACATGTATCATTTCGTTCTCTGTGTCTTCTAGGAACAAAGACATCCTCCTGCATAACCACTGTATAGCTGTCATACTCAAGACACTTGACAATACAGTAGCATCATCTAACGCACAGTCCATATTCACATTTCCCAATTGTATCCCTTATAGCTGATTGTTTTGTTTTGTTTTGTTTTTTCAATAGCTGGTTTTGGTTTGTTTAGCTTGGTTTTGATCTGGTATCCAATTAGGGGTCATGTATTGTATTTAATTGTCATGTCTTTTAGGTTTCTTTTATTCCAGAGTGGTTCCCCATTTCCAGCCCGTTGATAGTTGTTTGCAGAACGCCCCTCAATTTGTATTTGTCTGATTGCCCAGCCCCCTAATTTAGAGGGCACATCTGGTCCTTGGATGGAAGGGTAACTGGGGCCAAGGATAACCATGCACACATTATTATTACACAGGCAGGTGATCTGTCATTTTTTAAAAATATATCCACCAAGCTTTTGCTGTTGTTTTGAAAACCTTAGAATTTGCCCAGTGGAAAGTATCCCTGTGGTTTTTTTTTATTATTATTTATTATCATCGTCATTATTATATCTAAGATTTTTCTGGGATAGCAGATTGATGTATTTTCTCAGCACTTAATATGAACCACAGAAATTACCACAATTTATAGTAACTAGTGAATTAGTGCATACTTGAGAGTGGAGAGACAGCTAGAACTAGGAATATCTCCAAGGAAGGAGACAGCCTAGAAGAACAGGAAGAAGTAATCTCTTAGGATTGGATTTGACTGGCGGCTCCCTCAACTAAGGACTCTGGTCAAATTCTTTACTTCGCTAAGCCTCGGTTAGCTACCTCAGCTGTAAAGTAAAGAGACTAAAACGGGTAAGTGGCTCCCTACCTTGTAAATAGCACACTTTCGTTTCTAGGGACCTTGTGTTTCTGAAAGATTTTTATCTACTAAGTAAGGGGTATTTATTAATTTAATCAACTTATGGGGGATTTTTTCCCTTTTATTCATCAAAGACCTATATTATGCCAGTTGTTGCTTCTGATAATTGTGAAGTAACCTGTGTCATTGAACTGACTTGGTATAATTTTTATCAAAAAATAAAAACAATACAAAACTTTCACTTTGGCAACTTAATTACTAGTAAACCTACATTTCCCATTGGGCTTTTTGATATATTGAATGTAATTCTCAGATTCCCACTACTAGTTGGAATCCATTAAACTTCCTCCTCAGAATGATCCCTTTTAGAAAATCAGCCCGGATTTCAGTTCTTCCTGTCTCCAACCAGTCCTTGGGAGTGCCTCCTCCATTTTCTTAAGAGAGTGATTATTTGCATGTAGAGTGCTTGACAAAACTGTTTCTCTCCATTCCTTGTGGGTACTGAGAGTAAGAAAATATTGAGCTCTGATTTCTGTTTTGACCCACCACGACAAGAAAGGTATGATCCAGAGGCAAATAAACATACACAGACAAATTTTTTCCTTTATGCAATCTTAAATCAAGGAGCAGTATTTTCACCTATGAACTAAGGTAGCAGTTTGTCTCTTTTACCTTTCAAATAAACTTTCCTCATCTCTCTTAGTGAAACTTACTCCAGTTAATTTACTAGCAACCTTCTGTAATCTTATTCAGTAGTGTTACCTTGCTAGTGACTATCGTCTGTGTACCCCTAGTAAAAGCTGTGAATGACCTACATTGCTTTAAACAATACACTTACAGAATATCTGCCGCTGGTTAAAAAAAAATTGTAGAGGTGTTTTAAACCTAAGGTTGTTTTCAACCTTATCCCCCAAATTTAGTCAGCCTAAAACTATGAATCAAAGAGAGCCTCTTAAAAAAAGGGGGGGGAGGGGGGCGCCTGGGTGGCTCAGTCAGTTAAGCATCTGCCTTGGGCTCAGGTCATGGTCCCGGGGTCCTGGGATCGAGCCCCACATCGGGCTCCCTGCTCAGCGGGAAGCCTGCTTCTCCCTCTCCCACTCTCCCTGCTTGTGTTCCCTCTCCCGCTGTGTCTCTCTCTCTCTGTCAAATAAATAAATAAATCTTAAAAAAAAAAAAAAAAGCCTCTTCATTCTGTCATAAATATTTTACTCAACTACTTTCCAGAATCTCAGCCTAGCTCCTGTATTCTACAGTCTTCTCTTCTAAATGGTGTTGAATACTACATTATAAAATTTTTGTCTCAAAAAATGAAAAGGCTTTCTTGAGCATTCATAAACTCTACTGGAACAAAGAGTAAAATGGTGATGGGCGCTGGGGGAGGGGGGTAGTGTGAGAGAGTTGTATGCCTGGGGAATGAAGTATAAGAATCTTTCACTGGAGGAAAGATTTTTGCTTCTCAAGATTTCATATTAGACTATACGTTACAGAGCTCCACTGAAAGTTTTTCCTTCTCCTGTGTATCTGAGGTTTTAAGTTTCTGGATTTATTATGGCACCCAGTAGCAAAGCTGGAGTCAAGTGTTTTCAAGGCTTCCATTAGAAATTCCTTTTTCAGAGTTTTTTGCTTGACTGTTTCCAATTATATGAGGGAAACTTGGCACATAGGTTGTTGAACTGGATTACTTTTTTCAACATAAAATCTAATTTATTTCAGTTTGTTTTTAATCTAGAGATGGGCCAACAACTCTTCCAATAGTTTTAGAAGATTTGATCATAATTCTAAATAATATGTCTATAAAAAAAACAAGAAAAAGAAAAGAAACCACATTTTCCAACTTAATTGTCCAAGGTTTTTTGCAAAATCCTTGTTGAAAAATTTGAGAAATTTATTTTTACAAAGCACATAATTAGACTGCTTGATATCTGTTTGCAGATCATTTCACCATGTGTAATGCAGCATGTATGAATTGTTGCATGACTGTCAGAGTTCATCTGAATGCTTTTACCATGGATTGTTCTTTCTGTTAGAACATCCTCATCCTGAAAATTTGATGTTCCCATCACCGTGCGTGAAAGAGAGCAAGAAAGCATGATGTGGTGGTCACTTAAAACACTGCTTATAAAATTATAAAAAAGGAAACCAACCTGAGGCCCTCCTCCTAGTGCACAGAGGTCTAGGACAAGCCTCTAAGCACCAACTCTAGCCCCCTCTTGCCTCCATCACCTTCACATTCTTTGTCAGCTTTTTGTGACATTCCTTTCCCTCTTTTCCCTCTCAATCAACCCTTATTTTTTTTTATCATATTTCATCTATGAAGAATGTTGAGTCGATTGTCAGGTTTGAGACGATTTTCCATTGTACACCTTCCTAAAGGCCAGACCACATTTACCACTTTGTTGATTTTGATCTTTTATGTCAGCACTTTCAGCTGAACAGCCAGCCATCCTTTCCTTCCCACCATTACCTTCTAAGAGTAACTAACTATAGGGGCACCTGGGTGGCTCTTGGTTTTGGCTCAGGTTGTGATCTCAGGGTTGTGAGATTGAGCCCTTCGTCGGGCTCCACGCTTAGCTCTGAGTCTGCTTCAGATTCTCTCTCCCTTTGCCCCTCCCACTTGCGTGCTCTTTCTCTCTTACTCGCTCTCTCAAATAAATCTTTTTTTAAAAATACCAAATCATAATAATGACTCTTACAGATGAAGCCCCTAAAGACACTTGAAAATAATCATTAAAGACTTACAGGTGTTGCATTATCCCAGATTAGGTGTACTCCCAAGCAAACTGACTTTTTATTTAAAGGACCACATTATTTTTGTTGTTCTCTAACTGCTACTGAAGTTGTATTTGTACCCACCTGTTGCGCATTATTAGCATAAAATACTAAGTCACTTTTGTTGGCATTTTGAAAAGTTTAATCTTCAAGGAGTTTGGGAAAATATTCAGGAAAACATCCACCAGTTAAACCACACTGAAAAGTTTTTGAAAGATGCTTACCAGCCTTCGCCTAACAAAGAAAATTCAAAATTAGAACCTGTTATTTCTATGACCCTGTGTGGCTGAATTGATTATTGGGGCTTAATTCTTTGTTAATATCATTAAGTAATTATTACCCAAATATATATATATATGCATATATATACATGTATCTTCTTGAAAATATTAAAATACTTAAAAACAAGAAGAATAAAATGTCAGAGACAACTGAAAATATAAGAAAAGACTTGAAATTATTTGAATAGCATTCTGTCCTTCCATGTCAATAACTGTCACCATTGAGTGGTCAAGCCAAGTAATTCTGGGGAAAGCAGATTAAGTTATATTTTGACATCTAATTATGAAAAAGTGAATATCTTCTTTATTAGACTTATGTAAAATATATTTTCCCTTCATATTATAATTTTTTTAGTGAGTGAAGAGCATGCTGTGGGGAGGAATAGTGAGTGTACTGCTGAATGTGCGCTCAAAACTACTAGATAACGTGTTTTAGACACATAATTATTTTAACATTGTGTTAAGACTGTATTCTGGGTAAGATCCAGGTTCTTGGACTTGTTTATCTTCTGTGTGAGGACAACTAACTGTCCGATGCCAAAATACAATGAACTTTTAAATATCAAAGAGGAAAATTAAGTATTTCAAGTCCTCAGCTGGTTTACAGATGTGTGAGCTTTGTAGTCCATTTTCTGGTTCCAGTAGGGCATTGTGACAATTTTTCCAATATGTGTATACTAGATAAGTTTTGGAAGTAAAATTACTTACTTTAAATCCTGAAATACGTTTCTGAATTTAAAATTTTTAGGTTTATTTTTTTAAAGAAATGAAGTCTAAAACTGAGCTTCACAATTTTTAAAATACTTATGAATGTAAAACGTATGAAATTAAGGAGCCTTTCTCTGTTGGGAAAGTAAATGTCTTTTGAAAACGGGTATTCATTTAGATCCATGATTAACCTTTAACAAGATCTTCCTGTTAAATTCTACATTTGCTTTAATCTCAGTAGGAAAAATACAAACTAGTATTACAGCATATAGAGTTTCTATATACCCTGTGGACGTTAAATGATCTCTTACAGCTAAAGGCACATCTGCAACATATTTAAATGCCAGCTTTGGGCATTATTAGTATAAAATGCTAAGTCACTTTTTTGGGAAATATTTTGAAAAGTTGAAACTCCAGGAGGAAACTCCAATAAATGGTAATCTTATGATACCATTTGTTTCAAGGGAGTGGTAGGAAGATGAGTGGCTGTCTTTCATATTTTTCTCTTAGGGAAAAATAGTATGATCATTCTCCTTAAAATAAGTATGAAGTTTGGGGGGTGGGAGGATTGCTGTGCTATGGACTGATGTCCTTTTGCACCATCTTGCAGGACGCTGTAAAAGGGTTTTAAGTGCTTATCAGTTGTTGTAGAGGTGACACAGGTCCTCAAATTTGAGTCTCCCTTCAAACTCTGAGAGTCTATGAGTATAAAAGTTAAAGAACAATGATTGGTTGTTTTAAATAATAAATCTACCCTAAGTGTATAATAAACTAAAAACCTAGGTAACGTTTCAGTGAAAAATTGTGATTCAACCACAGATTTTTTTCTTTTGCCTTGCATTTTTTTACTCTGTCTCTCTTTTTCTTAAATACATTGTTGAAGGTCAAACATTCGGGACAATGTAGAAATGATTAAGCTTCATAAACAACTAGTGGAGAAAAGCAATGCTCTTTCAGTAATGGAAGGAAAATTTATTCAGCTTCAAGAGGTACTGTGATCATTTATTTTATTATGGTGATACATAAACACAAAGTTATCTATGTGTATACAAAGTGTATACGTAGGTACACTATCAAAGATAGTGTTTAAGTTGTATTTTTTAAATAGAATGGTAGTAACACTAAAAAGTTATTTTTAAAGATGCTCTTTTTCTTAAATGTGTATGATTTCACTTTATATATTATTTGTAATTTATAACTCAATGACTAAAGAAATAACTGCTTGGACTTTTCATAAATATCTGTGTCATCTCAAAATAAAACATTTATCATATATTATCTCACGCCAAGAAAATGTATTTTTAACTCCTTTTATCTGAATTCATATGGGCACATAGCACTGAAGGGTTAGATGTATTTCCATCTATCTTCAGTTATAAGCATTTATGAGATATCCAAGATAGATCAAGTTAAAAATACGAGTAATCAGGGGCGCCTGGGTGGCTCAGCCGTTAAGCGTCTGCCTTCGGCTCAGGTCACGATCCCAGAGTCCTGGGATCGAGCCCCACATCAGGCTCCCTGCTTTGCAGGAAGCCTGCTTCTCCCTCCTCCACTCCCTCTGCTTGTGTTCCCTCTCTCGCTGTCTCTGTCTCTGTCAAATGAATAAATAAAATCTTTAAAAAAAAAAATACGAGTAATCAGGTTTTGTTCAATGTTTCTTTGATGTGTTTTGTTTTGTCACTATCTACTATTATCACAAAATATTTGAGTACCCATCATGTCAACTATCAGGGTACTTTTTTAAATCTTGACCATTCAGGTTGACAATACTTGGGACTCTTCATCCTGCCTGCCTTAGGACTGTGGCCCCACAGGAATGTGCCATCAGAAGATGCCTATTTATTGGCACTGCATAATTAACATAAGTTCTGGAATTAATGAACTCCAAATCATTCCAGATGAGCAGAATTCATATTAAGCAGTACTTTCTTTGAAGTACTGAGACAAGGAAAGCAGTAAATTGATGGAAAGCATAGGGTCTTCTGAAACCTAAATTTACTATTGAATTAGATAAATATTTTAAAAATGTATTCTGGTTAGTGTTCTCCCCCCTGATTAAATGTGAAGTAATAACTGCCTTCCATATAAATGTGAGAGTTTATGAAAGAGAGAAGAGGAATTGGAGAATGGAGATAATAGCACTGTCTGCCTAGAGATAAAAGAGGGAGATTAAGAAAACATGGAGCTGAGGGCCATTTCTAACATGGGGAATTAGGAAAGGAAATAAAAAGTGAGCTTACCTTCTTTTGTCACTTTGACCATTTTGGCTTCCATTTAACAGTGCTGCCAGGTATTTGTTCAAAGACCTTGTTAGGTCAGGTATCTGCCATGACACAGGTTCCTCTCTGAGGGATTGATATTGGGTAAAGATTTGAGAGGTTCAGACCAACAGTTTCAATGAATGAGGTAGGAAGCCCAGCAAAAGTTGGTGAAAGATAGCATGCTATGATAATACCAAGATTAACAAAAATTGGACTCAAGTTACTCGATAGCCATGTTTCCTTTAAGTGATTGGAGCACTTCAGTAGAACGTAAGTGATATTAATTAGCAGATGAGCCATTACATGTTATGGTTGTATGGTCTCTGTGAAAAGACTTCAGTATGATCATCTTTTTATCTATTAAAAAAAGCATGAGGCATTTAAGAACATACATTTGAATTTAAAACATATTCATAAATGCCATTTTAAAAATTAAGAAATTGGGATGTCTGGCTGGGTGGGTCAGAGTGGTGAGTTCAGGCCCCACGTTGGGCATAGAGATTACTTAAAAATAAATAAATGAAAATAAAAATCTGTTGTAAAAAATTAAGAAGACTTCAGTAACTATTTTACGGCATTGAAAATTTCAACCTAATTGTATTAAAACAACCTTCTGTTAGGCTGTTTATGTGCTGTGGTGACAAATCCTTTCAAGTTTGATTATCTATGGTCAACATTTATTTTGACCCATGTGGGAGCATTTTTAGACAGCATGTCCAACCACTGTAACCACAGCAGAAAGAAAAAAAAATTGCTAAAACTAATTTACTCACTGGTCACTAATGAACCAGTCAAAAACTAGGAGGAAATAAAATAAAGGACAAAAAGTTTGCATTATGTGACTCTGTGCTAAGAAAACTCTATATTTTTTTTCCCCTAATGATACACTTGGGTCAAGAGTGTCTCCATGGACAAGTAGCACATACACATTGTGAGGTGAAGAATGAATTGTATAATGTGCGCTTTAGGAGTAAATTCACTTATAAAATTGTAATCACTTATTTAACGCAGAATCCAAAATTAATTTCAAAAAGATTTTCTTTTTGTTTTTTAGAAGCAAAGAAGTCTCCGGATCAGCCATGATGCCTTGATGGCAAATGGGGATGAACTAAATAGGCAACTCAAGGAGCAGCGTTTAAAATGCTGCAGTCTTGAGAAACAGTTACATTCCATGACATTTTCTGAAAGAAGAATAGAAGAGGTAAGCTCCGAAAAATTTATTAGCCGTTCCTTGCATTCAAACTTCTCTGTCACTGTTTCAAAAAAGTAAAATAGAGACATTCCAAAAAAGTTCCTAAACTACATGCCAACTCAGTGCCTAAAAATATTTACAAATGTGCTGATAACCACTGTTTACCTAAAGGATTGACTCTTGAGGAAAAAGAACACATAACATTTTGCAACTTACTGTGGAACCTAACTTTCTCAGCCTTAACATCCGATTAGCCATTTGAGATACCAAGACCATGTTAGACGAATACACATCTGTTTCTGAAGAGAAGTATATTGCATTCTGCAACTTCAGCAGTTCTGGAAATTATTTCCTTTTTTTTCTAGGAAGTTGTTTGGAAACTCATCTCTCTATTAGTGTTGTTACTCATGCCTCCCAGCTAGCACAGTCTCTTTCTGTCGTCTTTTAAACTTGTTCTTAAAGAGCATGGTAATGAAATAAGATGCCTACATTCTGTTCTGATCTTGAGAGAATCCTTACTGTGTCTCAAACTAGCATCAAAAGGGAATTATGAACATGGAAATGAATTTTAAGAATAATGACCCACGGGAAAAGGTTGTAACTACAAAATATACTGGTGAATAAAACTTAAACATGAATGCTAGGAATAAATACAGAAAGCTGCATTTTAGTCATAAAGCTATGATGGTTATCCTGAGTTTATTTCTAAAAATATTCTTTAGGATAAAACAACGTATACGATTTTATTTATTCATTCATTTATTTAGAAGATGTGCTACTGGATCTTTGTAAATTCCAGGTAACGTAAGAAATTTTGTCTTCAAAGTGAATTGTGATTGACACAATTTGTTTGAACCACGAACCAAAAGAAAAGTTAATCCTTTTATTTTTTATGGGCCAATTGAAAATTAATACAAAATGAATATAATGATGGAATTCATCAGGGGGGAAAGTAAAAAATACTATGTTTCCCAGACTTCACAGCAAACTTTTAACACATTCTTTATTGAGTTTTGGCACATGTCACCATAAAGCAATGCATACGTTTCTACTAAATTAAAACAGAAATATTAATTTCATGTTTACTTAACAACTTGGAAAAAAATCAATGCTAAATTAAATACAGACAATAAAATTTAACTAGTTAGCAGCTGCAATTTAGAAGTCAAGACTAAAACATCTTAGCCTCCTCTCATGTTATTTTACCCCCATGTGATTTTATTCGATAATCACCTAATGTGTCATTTTCTTTTCATTTTAGCTGCAGGATAGAATTAATGATTTAGAAAAGGAACGGGAACTTTTAAAGGAAAACTATGATAAACTTTATAACAGGTAAATCATGATTACATGTGTTCTCTCATTCTCTTGTTTGAGATCTTATATATCAAAGCAGTGGGTGTCAGAATATTTAATATTTATTAAAGAATTAGCAATGGATGATTGCAAAAAATATATATGTGTTTTAAAAGAAAAATAAGCTTTTCTAGGCGTTGGTAAGAAGTTCTTTAAGCTGAGCATTAGTCTATTACTAGAAAACCATATCACTTTGTTGCCAGTAACAATTGCTATTACAATTTATTGAATATAGACGGTAAGCGAGCAGGCCCTGTGCTAACTACTCTTTAATACATTATTATAAATTCCTCACAACAACCTGGAAATGTAGGTAATGTAAGTGCCCATTTTGCAGGCAATGAAAGTAAAACAGAATTAAGTAACTTGCCTACACTCTTCAAGGTCTCTCCAAGCCCTACCTGGTCTCTTCCACTGGGCTACCCAGCCTGTTAGCTGAGAGTGATTCTCTTAGTGGAAAACAAAGGTGTCTACTTACAATTGTCTCTGTTCCTTATAAAAAGAATCATAAGTATCTTTGTCTCAAGATAAATTTGTTTATTTATATAAATAATCTCTACACCCAGTGTGGGGCTCAAACTCATGACCCCGAGATGAAGAGTCGCACATACTTCCAACTAAGGCAGCCAGGCACCCCTCAAGATAAATTTTAAAGAGCTACTTCAGTTTTGTTTTTTAATCTACTTCATAGTGATGGTATTTTAAAAATTAAACCCTTCTGATAATGTTAGAAACAAAATTCTACACCGCAGCTAAGCTTAGTTAAGCGGTTCAGATATCTATATGTGTGTGTGTCTGTGTCTGTGTATACATGTGTATTTTTAAGTCTTTTCAATATATAATAACTGATAAAGGATAAATACAAATTTACATGAAAGTAAATTTAATATATATATTGGAAGATATACGTTAGAGCTGATATTCAACAGTTGCTTCTATTGATCATATTCTGAAACATCAGAAAGTAGCCATCTGATGTACAGAGACACCGTATGTTTTGGACGTTTTATAAACTAAATTTACATTTTATAAATTAAACAAATCATACCTAAAGAGTGCAGGGTTAGGCTTTTATTGATTTTTACCTTGAAAAGATACCTAGATAATTGTTAGACATCATTCCAGTGGCATGGATCATCTATGTTGTTGATGTTGATTACCTTTGCACAGTGGCTCATTATATTAAGAGTTATCAATAGCAGATTCAGACATCAGTTAAAATAATATCTGGGGCTTTCCAGCAAGGATAGGCTGGCTAAAAATCTTTATGTGGGATCCACCTTGGACCCCTTCCAGATCATTTGGCCCTATTTGCTTTGTTCTGGCTTCTTTCTCATCAGCCCCGATTAATTTTACCTAAAGCATTTATTATGCTTTCTGTTTTATATTTTCATTTCTATAGAACGATACAAGGTTTATATTGTTATATATCTAAGTATTTAGTAGTTATGTGTTCGAAAATTCCAAATTTCAGTATGTAGATCACACAACCACTGCATTATAGGGCAGAGGAAAGAATGTTATCCCCATATTTTAGAAATGAGGGAACTGAGACTCAAGAAAAATTAAGAAACTTGTGCAGATTCACACAGCATTGCTGAGACTCCAATATAGGACCCAAACCCAATTCTGTTGACTCTAAAACTTGAATTTTTTTTTCACTGTGCTTCACTATCTCTCTGGTTTTAATTGCATTGGAAAGCTGATTCTGTGGAAGGGAAATGTTCATGGAATAATAGAACTACCATACATTCAGAATTTTTTATTGATTTATATTTATCTTCAACATCTTGTAATGTCAAATAATTTAACATGGTCTTAATACAAGAAAATAAGTGCCATTTGGCCATTACTTACACATTTTCTACTTCCCAATTTGAGGATTTACTGAATATAACCTTCTGGGAATAAAAAACATTAAACTTAGCTGGGAATAATGCATAAATGAAATTTTGAGGGAGACATGTTTTTCTCATATTTACTTTATCACCATGAAACTTTATCTCTCCATATTAGAAGATGATCTGAGAGTGTAAATCTGACTTTGAAGGGTTTTTTTAATGTTTTATGCTTGAGCCACATTTTTTTCCTGTCACATTAAAAACAGACTTCATTATACTGCTTACACTCAGATTTTGTGTGAGATATATGGAAGTAAATGTGTGTAATGAGTGTCAAAACATTTTGTGCCAAAAATAAACTTAATGTCACTTAAACACAAAACCCAGCAAGCACACATGATAGGAAATAGAACCATAAAATTCTCTAATACAAATTTTTAATATATAATATGTTTGCAGAAGCAGAGTTGGAAAAGCTTCTACAAAAATCATCATTGTCCTTAAGATTCTTTACAGCTTTTGTGTTTCATGGCACTGTCATTCATCATTGCCAACAACTAGTGCTCATCAAAAACTAAATAAATTTTACTCCCTGTTTGGTTAGTCATAGTGATAGCATGTTTTTTAAAGGAGAGCATTTGTTTGTTATTCAAAATTGGCTAGTTTTCAGGAGAAAAATATGATTTGCAGATTACATTCTCATCTTCCTTTTCCAAATGAAATTTTGAATGTGTTTATTACTTGACATATGACATTAGAGAATCATCTGGTAAGAGAAAACCCTCATGTTAGTATTTGGTATGAGCTTGTTTTAATATGTGAGAACATTTTTGATACAATGCCAAGAAATAAGTATAACTTTAAGAAATATTCCATTTAAAAATTCATAATAAACTTTTTGCAGTTAAATCTGTGTGGTCAGAGAGAAACTTTATACTACAATATTATAAAGCTATGTCCCATTTTTAAAGCTAGTATAGTTTTAGGGTGCTGTAACTGATGAATACAATAGTCCTTCCACTATAGTATATATGAATAACCTGGAAAACAGCAAAATGTAGGTTTCACCACCTTTGGAACCTCCCTCCCCTGCCTCCCACGACCATCCGATTCAGATTTAGTCAGTTTGAGATAGGATCCAGAGAATCTGTTAGAGGTGATTTTAAAAGGTATTGACTCCCTAAGAGACACTAATCTAATACCTACTTTTAAAAAAGAGTTGGTCTAGTTTTTGAAGATGGTATTAACCGTTTTAAGAATTGATTTTTACTATGTAATTAGTAGTCATCTAGTATCCAGAATTTAATGGAGCACTGCTGACCACCCATAGACTCTCTGGGCTCCATTTCTGTAAAGTGAGCACCTGTCCCCTGCAATCTTCTAGGAATCATGAAACCTCATGCGATCAAATAGGAGTACTTTGTGCTTCCCAGAAATCAAACTGAGTACATTTGGAGCATCATTTTCTTTCAGTAAGTGAGATATCCCTGTGTAAATACATATTTAATTTCCATTAGGTCCTAACTAAAGTACCTATGGATTTCTTTGTGGATGACTTAGAGCTTATCCTTCCCTCTCTCTCACGTTAGGTTGCCCTTAGACATTGGAATACATGGAATTTCTTCTGTAAGAAAAAAGGCCTTAGGGTGGAGACGAATTCTTCAGCTCTTATTTTTGTCTGATCATGTTGTTCAGCGGTGTGTATGCTGTCCCGTGACTGCCAGTGGCCATGCCAGTGACCACAGGCACCAATGGGCATTCGACTGACATTTTCTCACTTCTGCAACAGAATGTAACAATGAAATGTGCACACAGACCAACTGTGATCCCCTCCTCTATTGTCACTGTAGGCAATATACAAAAACATTTTCATGAATAAAAGGTTCTCAAAGACTGTTCTCATATGCAGATTTAATCATGTACACAGCCTTTACAAAGAAAATGGAGCCAGATGTGGCTCACCATTTATAGTTACACAGATGGCTCCAAGCATAGAGGAATACAGTAAATTCAAAAGGAATTCCTCATGAAACTCCAGTGGAATGTAATCCTAAATTTAGAGGGAAGATAGCAGTGGACTAAATTCAGATTGACTTATGCTGATTTACACTAGTATTTTGTGGGTTTGGAAAAACCAGGCTGCTAAATTGTTCTTAATTTAAACACATACAGCTTCTGATGTTTCTGCCAGATTAACTGTTGGTGATCTTTTTGCTGGTACTAATGCTATTGGAACACTACTGTTTCCAATCTTTGGCGTCTGATATAATGTATAATTGTGCCTATTTCATCATGCTAATTTTTTTTCCGGGTAGTACATGTTTTTAATAATACAAGACACACACACACACACACGTCTGTGTGTGTGTGTGTGTGTGTTTGGTTTACATAATTTGACCAGACACAAAAATTGTATTTCTTCTTTATTTTAAAAAGTGAAAATGTAAAGGAATATTCTTTAATATTTAAAGTACATACTTTGTTTGGATTTCATGTAAGTCTAGGTAATTGTACCTCTGATAAAATTAACTTGAAATACTGGGTATATAGGTCCATGCATTTCTTAAGATTCCATATGTGAAATGAGAACATCGATAGAAGAAACAGATGTCATATTTAGAGAAACTTTTAGGATTCCATTTATTTTTATGTTCATATTATTTTAAACGCAATAAAAATATTCAAAATGTAAAATAAACACACAGTTCTTTCCCTTTGAAAGCTATGCCTCCCAGAAAAGTATCTCTCTTGGAATAAAACCTCGAGACTAGCTGGGAGCAACATTAAGGGCAATTTTCAATAACAGGTTTTTCTTCCATTTACTTCATCATCAGTACAAAACCAGATTTTATAAATTTTTGTTTCATTTACCGGGTTTAAAATAAGGAGAAGGGTCAAAGCTGCTGATAATTATTCAGTCAAATCAAGCTTCACAGATAATAGTTTTCTGCTGAAATACAGATCAAGATCAGTTTTTCCAAAACCTGGCTATCACCTGGGGAAGCTTTATAAAACTATGAATTCCTGGGCCCCAGGACCTTCATTTTTAAATCTCCCTGAGTGTTTTTAGTACAACTGGTCTAGCACCAGTGTTCAGTTTATCAGCACTGGCGCAAATGAATGCTGGGATTTCATCACTAGTAGATTATAACGAGAGTTTAAACTGCTGCACTTGTACTGAGGAATAACATTTCTGTCTTCATCCTTCTTACCAGGGTGTTCTCACTGGGTTTTCATCCCAGTCGTGTTACAAGTAAAACTTTGTTCTTAGTCTGTTATTGCTGTTTGTGTTTTAGGACAAAAACTACATTATCACTACTTCTTCACAGCAGAACTACTGTCTCATCATTCAATGTGCTATCATTTCATGGCCAGAATTTTGTGAATGTGTTATTAGCACAGACCCAGTAAAAGTTTCAGATTCTAGCAGTGAAGATCAGGTGGCGAGCCCCTGTTCTCTGTATTAAGAGGGTTTGTATGTGGGAGAGAAGGGTTTTATCCGAAGCCGATGGCTGAGGTTTGGAATTGTGGATTCCTCTGGAGTATGTACAGTATCTAAATTCCTTTACTAGTCCCACAAAAGCTCCACACTGCCAACTTCTCTGACTGTAGAGCTCTAAATTAAGGCCAGTTCCTTTGCTCATCCCACAAACCCTTTCATGTTTCCTAACCGCAGCCTGAGAAAGGCGCCTTGGTTTCAACAGCAGCAGACCAGCATATGTTTACTTAATTCCTAAGACATGATGACAGTGGTCTCTGTACCACTAAAAGCTTTTCTCTCTCGTATTTTCGGTCGAGGCCGATTTCCAGGCTCTCCTTGCGTGTCACGTGTGTTTTGCAGTGCCTTCAGTGCTGCCCACGAAGAGCAATGGAAGTTCAAGGAACAGCAGCTGAAAGTACAGATCGCTCAACTCGAGACTGCCTTAAAATCTGACCTAACAGACAAAACTGAAATCCTTGACAGATTCAAAACTGAAAGAGGTACACATAAAACGACTACTGATTTCTTCATTTCAGACATCTGTGTTACTCCTGGTTATTCACCGGCTCAGTCAGCACCGACTGTGGCACCTACTGTTTTGCCAGGCACCTTGCTCCATGTAGGGGACATCACATATTAACAGCCCTCCACTTTCATGAGTTTATTGGTCGCTCAAAGTTTCCATTTACTCAGCCTAGCATATACGCCAAAGGAGTTATTTCTTCATCAGAGATACTTTTATTCAGGTTGCCTTTCATTTGTTTTGTTTTGTTTTGTTTTGTTTTCCTAAATGTCAAGCCTTGCTGTATTCAGCAGTTGACAAGCATTTATTGAGCCACCAGTATGTGCTAGGCACTGTTCGAAGTTCTGGGGGACACAGCAAGGAGTAAAACAAAGGCCTTGCCCTCATGCAACATAAATTCAATAGGGAGAAACTGCCAATAATTAAATAAATGTGCAACATGTCAGGTGGCGGCAAGTGCAGTGGGAATAAAAACAAAGCAGCGTAAGATGACAGAGGAGCAGAAGTAGTTTCTTGCTAGTTTTGGTAGGTCGAACAGGGAAGATCTCTGTGATAATTAGATGTCTAAATCTACTCCGTGACAGTGAACTTAAATACCAGGAAGACTTGTCAAGATGTCCCTGCTAAAATAATAATCATTAATAAGTTTCATGTATGACTCACAGATCTCACCCTTCTCATCTCATGGAAATAAAATAATTATAATTAAAGTAGATGTCTGATTTACTAGATTATACACACAAACGCACAACAGGGGAATTGAATTATTTGCTTCAAACGTTGTCTCTGTTGCTCATCCACTACATAAACCAAGTGATGTGATAATAAGGTTGCTTCTTTTGAACATTTGCGATTCTGTTGCATGAGAGCATTTCAAAGTTTAATGCAGGCTCAGTTAAAAAATAAAAATTACATACCTAGTCGGTACTCTATATGTTGATTTAGATCACAATGCCATATTTTATTAACTATAAGAGAGATTTTTTTTTCCCATTTTGACATCTCTGAAGTTGGGATGCATCTTGTAATTGATAACATTTTAAAATTATGGTCTGACCTTTTTTAATATTTTAAGAAGTCTGAAATCGATATAGTCTTAATTTCGGTGAAACACACATATGCAGCATTTATTTACCAAGTGATTGAATTTTGTGAAAAATTATTTATGAATTTTTCTTGGGAATATTGTGAGTAGAATAAGATGATGACATGATTTGTGACTGGGTGGGTATTTAAAAGTTTTGATGTCAAAGATATATAGTTCCTGACTTTCATGTGATACTTAACAGAGTGCTTTTGTTTAGTAGTTGCTCAGTAAATCCTTGTTGACTGAAGGAAGCAGAAGCTCTCTATATTCCGTTTTCCAAAGACAAATATAAACTCATTCTTTAAGGAAGAGAAATGAAAAAACACCTCTCTTATTTCTGTGCTTTCTGTATTTCCCTAAATATTAAAAATTCCAAAACTCTTTATCTCTAAACATCTGAATTGGTCTCTGGAAAGAAACTCTTAAGGGGATAGAGTCTTGGTGGTCTTTTTTTTTTAAACCTATCTGTTGTTGTTGAATTAATTCCAAAGCTGCTTTTAAATGATTAAAACTACAGTTGCTAAGTTATTTTAATCCACCATTAATCCATTCCTCATCTTTTTTTTACTAGTTTTTATGTCTTTTTAGGATTTTTTGAGTGATTAAAAATAATTCATGTATAACCATTAAAAAAAGTTCAGTAAACAAAAAAATAACTTTCTAAAAGTCACTCAATCACACAACCACAAGATAATCACTATTAATATTTTTATGTGTGTCCAAGAGTTGTTTCCATATGCACAGACACTGTTTTATAATGTGCTTTTTTATTCACTCTATTATGAAATCGTTCCTCAGTATAAATGTAAATCCACATCATTATCATTTATAATGGCTGTCATAGTTTTCCATGTGAGGATGTACCAAAGATTGTTTAACAATCTTCTGTGGATGAATTTTTAAATAGCTTCCATTTTTTTAAGTATCATAAACATCTTTCTACACAAATCTTTACACGTTTATTCATTTGTTTTGTTAAGAAAAATTGCTAGAACTGAATCTTAATACAATTGTTATTTTAGTTATTTTGCTTGACTACCTGAAATGTATAGATCTAATGATTTAGGTTTGGGGGTTTTTTGTGAAAATGTTACAATAGATTATAAGAAAAATATTACAGCCTTGAACCATTTTTTCCAGGGAAATACTAAACAAAAAGAATTGAAACGATTTATATAAGGAAGTCTTTTAATATTTAGAAAGTTCCTTTTTGTATTACACATTTTGAAATTGTTTCATTTTACTTTGAAGTCTCTTCACACATTTACCTTTTCATGTATCAAGTGTTCCTTGCCAGAAGATGTTTCCTTGGGTTCTTAGAGTCATTCATCTAACTGGCAAATTATTTTTAGAGAATACTCACCTCTTTATTCAAGGTACAAATTAGTTTCAGATTGTGTGAATATGTGGGGGAAGGATATGTAAATGCAGTTTGCATTTGGTTAATGCTTAAATTAACTGCATGTGTTTAAAGGCCCTGCTTTTGAAAGTTCCTTTCTATCTTTAGCTGAAATGCATAATTCAGCATAATGCATATGGTTATATTGATCACAGCTGAAGATATTAGCACAAAGGAGCTCTGAAAATTGTTTAGTTGAATTGTTCTCTGCACTCTGCTTATTAATGGTGTGCTTGAAGAACATAATTTTGAAAGAGTAAAATGTTATCTCATTTGAATAAAATGCTGTTTAGCTTAACCTGCTTTTTGTCAAATCATAAGGTAAAGAGGTTATTTTTCATCTTGTACAGGATGCTTTGATTTTTTCATATTATAATTCAGCAAGTCTATCTCTTCTTTGAACTACAGCGTCTCTGTGCTTTTTAAAGAGCCAGGAGTTCTATCCCCAATAAACAGTTTGAGAAAGGAAAAATGTTGTGGATAATTCTACATAAAATTTAGTAGAGAGAAAGGTACTGGTGTTTAGTAATGTCGTCTTCCACTAATAAGTTATTTTCTCACTAATAACACCCTAGTTTTAAAAAAGATTAGTGAAACGGGGACATTGTTGTGGAAACAGAAACAGGCAAAGGAAGAAACATTCGAATAAGTTTATTTATACCTACTAGCATATCATTCTTAGGACCCTGCTCTGGAATTTTGAAAGAATAGAAAAACTAGAGCATAAAACTAGAAATCAAAATACACTCTGTCTGGATGAAGGTGGAATAATCATGTCCTTTACCCTTTACCTCATTCTCAAAACCCGTAACACTTCTTGCAGGCCAGAGAAGGAAATTATATCATCCTCAAGACCTTTGGTTTTACATTTTTCTTACTGTATTTACCTTCTTTCTGTTACCTAACCATTCCTATCTAGATTTTTTTGAACCTCATAAAACAAAGCATTCTGCATTCTTATTCTACTCTGTAACTGAAAAAGTTTATCTCCTCTACGAATTCATATTTATTATTAATCCTAATTTTTAGTTTAAAGACAGGTATTTGACCCTTACCTTCAAAATTTCCAAATACTGTTCTCATTTGGAAACTCTCTCATTTAGGTCACTGAGTATTAGCAATTTATCCTCTAGTATAACCTTTTAACCTTTAATCAATAAGATAAAAAACGTTTATATATTTGATATTAAAATGTCTCTGCGTACCCCAGAGTCACAGTGTTTTTCCTTTTTAGTTTGCCAGGAAATATGTGACATTAAAAATATCCAAATTTAGTCCCTTTCTTCTTAATTGTATAATTTACGATTTTCACTTACATGTAGCATTTCTAGCTGAGGAACACAAAGCATTATAAAAGTCAGAAATGTATTTTTGTATAAAATGCATTCAGTGTGCAAATGTATTCATGTTAGGAATTCTTGGCAAATGTGTTGGCTTGCTTTTTTTTAAGAAATGGAAACAAAAATGTACAACTTGAATTGAGGACTTTTGATAAACACAAATCTGTGAAAATAGGATGAGATTAGTGGAGACACTTTGGATGACATGGTTTAGAGTTAGGCTACAGGGAGCCAAAAAGGATGCTTGACCCCCACAATGAACTCTGTTGAAGAGTACGCTTAAGAACATGAGACTAAAGAATAGATTTGGTAGCTAGCTTTTTTTTTTCTATTAAGTTAAGCATTATGTTTAATGCAGGGAGCAAAAAATTAGTCTCTTTTTGGATTTACTGTCTCCTGTAGCTCTACCCTGTGCTGTTGCTTGTGGGTTCAGGCAAATGAGTGCCTGGGTGAACGTAACCTATCTCTACTCCTTAACGACAGCTCTTGGGTCCATGTCCTACCAATTAACAGCACGAACTCAATGAATAAAGAGCACACATGAATTATTACTGAGGCTACCATGCGCACTGGCTGAGAATCCATTTCTCCTATCTTAACAGATTTGTTCAAAGTGTGGTTGATTAAAATTATGGGTTTAGTTATTACCGGAGAAATTATGTTGTTTTGATAAAAAGACTTTATGCTAAATTGGGAAAAGAAAACTTAAGGAAGTCAATTAAAACACGAAAAGACAAAAATTTTTTTTGCATGCCTTTCAGGACCCTTAATAAGTAAGTAAAAATCATAGATTTAGAAACATATTTTCTTAGGTATTTAGATAGAATGTTCCTTTGAAGTCCCAGAGGCCACAATTTCCTTATATTAATGCTGTGAACTTAAGTCTTCAGTTTTTGATAAGCAACTGGATCATATGGTAGACACATGATAGTGTTCATTTGTTCCTCATTCTCTCACTGGCTTTGTCTAGGTGCTAGCACAATTTCCTCTCTGACCAGAGCAATACTAGTTCGAGCTTGGTGTGTATCAGGAGTTAAATTAATTTTAAATGCGTTCTTATGCCTCATGCTCTCTTACCTTTCTAATTGTATCAACTTTATTTTTAAGACCAAAATGAGAAACTCATTCAAGAAAACAGAGAACTACAGTTACAGTATCTGGAACAAAAGCAGCAACTTGATGACCTTAAACACCGCCTGAAGTTTTACAACCAGGTGAACTATTTTCTTATTTAGGAAATAAATGCCAAATTTTTATCTCAATATTTTATGCCCAGAGGAAACTATGCTGCAAAGCGAAAGAGTACAAATGTATTACTTAGTTTCTTAATTCATGGTTATTAAGCAGTTTACACTTCAGGGGGAGATTCTGAACAGTTGGGATGTTTCATATACTTAGTTTCTTAATTCATGGTATCAGGCAGTTTATGCTCCTTGAGGATAATCTGCATAGTTGGAATGTCTCTTGTACTTTCCATTAATATCTCATTGTGAGCTTTTACTTACTCTGTCTTTTGCAGGAGAGTGATATTAATGCTGATGAATTGAGTGAAGCTCTCCTGCTTATAAAGGTAACTTTCTGAACTTCACCATGAATTTCATGTCTACATATAACTATTTCAGCATAATGATGACCCTTGTCTGTAACCCTTATACTTGGAGAATAAATTATTCAGGAAAGTGGTCAGGTGACATTTAGTTACAGCATATACATATTTCATAATGACATCAAAATTACATTAAAATAGACCTCAAAAACTCTTATTTAAAGCACTTTCTCCAACTGTAACAAACATTTCACTTTTACACACCTCACTATAAAACTAATCAATAATTTTCTGTCCTAAGAGACCTTGGTACACCCTATTATCTTAAATAAAATATTGAATTGTAAATGTTACCAGAAGATATTTTTCAGTCCTAGGGTATTCTGTTATTTATAAGCTGACACGAGAAAATACATTTCTTTCCCTTTAGATCAACACAGTGTAGCTTTTAATCAGTTGAAGAAATGGAAATAAATACACATGATTCTTCTTTATGTCGTGAAGTAGTAAACTGTTTTTTGAATTCTCTGTAATTGTTCCAAATGACTATCCACATATATTTTCTGTATCAGGATAGTTTTGTTCCCGATGGAAAATGGAAATATATCTGTTTTCAATTAATGATTATTCCTTGCTATATCTATATTAATTCACATGATTACGTTTTAGAAACTCTTATTTCAGTAATAAAACATGTTTTTGTTTTAGGCTCAAAAATCACAAAAAAACGGAGACCTTTCCTTTTTAGAGAAAGTAGACAATAAAATTAACAAAGATCTAGAACGCTCCATGAGAGAGCTACAAGCAACACATGCAGAAACGGTGCAAGAACTTGAAAAGACGCGAAACATGCTAATTATGCAACATAAAATTAATAAAGATTATCAGGTAATGTGCTGCACGAAGACAGGATAACAGGCTTCCTGTGATATTCTACTGATGATTTACTTTTCTAAGCAGTATTATGTATTATCATCGGTTATAATCTCTTCCCATGTATTACCACATGCCTGGAATTTGGCCTTGTAACTAGGTGCTTAGAGTAAATAGTTTAAAAACAAATAATTTTTTTAAAGGCCTGGTTTTAGAACAGAAACAGCGGCCATGAATTTACCTGTGCTGGTATTAGCACATTGTGCGAATGCGTTGTAGTGCTTCTGCCACAACCACATGTTATCTTAGCCTTTAACAAACAGGAAAATCACCTCCAGGAGAAGGAATCTGGGGTCTTGTTAATTTTGTTTCTGATTTAAGAACATTGCCAAGCATAATTTTCTAAACTGTAAGCTATTTGAGGTCAGAAAATCACGGTTTACAGCTCCTGAGATCCCTAGGATCTAGGAAAGGCTTGAGTCAGAGTTGCTTTAAAAAATGAAAATGGAACTAACCCTAAGTATTGAAACTTGTTATCTCATATTTTTTAGATGGAAGTTGAAGCAGTGACCCAGAAGATGGAAAATTTGCAGCAAGATTATGAACTCAAAGTGGAACAATATGTTCATCTTCTTGATAGCAGAGCTGCACGCATTCAGAAACTAGAAGGTACAATTCTTTGTCCACAGTACCTAGATGAATGGGTCTTACAGTAGTTGAAAATGTCATCCAAATCTACATTCATGATTTCTTTTTGCTCTGTTTTTTTCTAATTCATAGCTGTAATGAGAATTTACCAGAAAGTTTGTTTTTATCTGATTCTTTTCTACTCAAGAATTTTTAGTAATTTTCTGTTGCTTTCCAAATTCAGTGTTGCAGGCACAATTTCATAGTACTTTATGGAGTACCACAGAACTTCCCCACCCCATCCCTCACTTCTCTTCTAAGCAAGCTGTGTATCTCACCCAAACAAGTCGGCTTGCTCTTTGTCAGATTCACCCTTCTCAGTGCTACCACTGTACCTTTGCTCCACCTGAGCCTCCCTTCTACCCAACATATACCCTTTTTACCCTGCTTTGCAATCTAACCAAATGCAATGCCTGCCTCTGCCAGAAAGCTGGCTCCCATCACTCCTAGCCATTGGAGGACATTTCTACTTGAAATGTCCTTGCAGTAGTTTCCAGACTTGAGCGAGTATGAAAATCACATGAGGAACTTGTTTCAAATGTAGCTTCCTGGGACCTACCCCTAGAGATCCGGGGGTCCATGATTCTGTATATTTAGAAATAACTCCGAGGGATTCAGATGGCAGGTGCAAAACTATACTTTGAAAAACACTAGACTTAGTACTTCCCATTTTTCCTCTTATGTACTCAAAAAATATGTGTGCAGATTATATTATGGAAGTGTTCTTCACTGTTGGAGTTTTGCATATTCCCTGTGACTGCCATATAAATTCTGTGAGGCTAAGTACTGAGTTTCTCTTTCATGTCTCCTGCCGTACAATGTTTAATTCGAATGATTGATGCCAGCAGTAATTTGACACTCTTAAAAATTACTGAGGATCCCAAAGTCCTCTTGCTTATATAGGTTCTATTTATCATACTAAGAATTAAAAGAGAAATTTTGAAAATATTTATTTTATGTCATGCTAAAATAATAATAAATCCATTACATGTTAACATAAATTACAGTATTTATTTTTTAAAAGCTGTATTTTCCATACCAAAAAAAATAGTGAGAAGAGTGACGTTGTTTTAAATTGTTTTACATTTCTTTAGTTGTTTGACGTTTTTGCAAACTTTTTGGTGTATACCTTAATAGAAAACAGCTGGGTTTTTAGACCTGCTTCTGCATTCAGTCTGTTATGATATCACACATTATGTAGTCTGGGGAACTCCATTAAACACTTGTGAGAGAATAAGGATGAAAAAGGCAAGTGACACACAGGATTATTTTAAAAATAGTTTTGACCTCACAAACCTTCAGAGCAGTTTCAGGGATCCTCAGGGTTCCCAAAGCACACTTTGAGAACCACTGCTTTAAGTAGAAGGGTTCAGTAAATATCTTTATGTTCCTGAACAGGGTTTTCTAAAAGTGAAAGAGAAGTATATACCTTTTATTTCAAGTAGAACTCAATAAAAATTTGCTAAATAGAATTTTCCTGAATAACAAGGAGATCACATAGTTTGGGATTTTCATTGCTTTTAGTCTTACTAAATCTTCACCAACGTATTTCATCTGTCCCCTAAATTCATTGATTGATTCCTTAAACATGCTCAGGCTCTTAATGCATCCTAAGCAATGTGCTAGGCAGGAAGAATCCAAATAGGAAAAAAAGAAAAAAGCTCAGGTACCAGCCCTCAAGGAACTCATAAGATGGAGCACATAGGATAGGGGCGCCTCGGTGGCTCAGTTGGTTAAGCGTCTGACTTCGGCTTGGATCGTGATCTCATCGGGTCCTGGGATCTCCCTGCTCATGATCTCAGGTCCTGGAATCGCCCTGCATTGTCATGTCTGCCGCCCCTGCCCACCTCAGGCTCCACGCTCGGGGATTCTATTTCTCCTTCTCCCTCTCCCTCTTGGTCCTCCCCGCTGCTCATGCTCGCTTGCTCACTCTCTCTCTCTCTCTCAAATAAGTAAATAAAATATTTTTTTAAAAGAAAGATAGAGCACATAATAGACAGTTATACTTGACCATGAAGAGTGTGAAGCTAGGAAAATGCAAAAGATACCAAGGAAATGTTGAGGAGAGAATGCTTATTTAAACCTGAAGATTCAGAGAAGACTCCACAAAGTAGGTTTGGAATCTTTAAAGATGACAGAATTCACCACTAAGTAAAAGCAATGAAAGGCATTCCAGACAATCGAGGATGTAGGTAAAAATGCCCTAAATGTGAAGCACTGCCTTTCATTTGCAAAACTGCACCCAGATCTATCTAATTGGAACTCATCATTAGTAAAGGGAGGAGAATCTCTCCAGGTAAGGCTGGGAAGAGTCAAATCATGAAGGCCCTGTTTGCCACCTTGAAGAGTTTGAGACTTAATAACCTGAAAACCACTAAGCAATTTTTAAGATAGGCAGTCATACACCCAGAACTACATTTTGGAGATTATGCTATAGTTATTAGAAAGAAGATTTGAAGGAAGGAAGCACTTTGGGTCCCATAATAATCTGGGTAGTAAACACTGGGAACATAGGTCAGGTAGCATTAGTTGACAGAGAATGGACAGGGACAAACTTGGAAAGACTTAGGAGACAGTTTTTTTTTTGTTGTTTTTTTCTTTAAGATTTCATTTAATTTGAGAGAGAATGAGATAGAGCATGAGAAGGGGGAGGGTCAGAGGGAGAAGCAGACTCCCTGCTGAGCAGGGAGCCCAATGCAGGACTCCATCCCGGGACTCCAGGATCATGACCCGAGCCGAAGGCAGTCGCCCAACCAACTAAGCCACCCAGGCACCCCGAGACAGTGTTGAATAGTAGTGACCCTTTGGATGTGGGGACAGTTAAGAGAAAGAGAAACTAGAACGATTCTGTAGCAACAAGCTTAGGCAACTGGATGAATGCTAACACCAGCGCTTGAGATTCAGAGTACAGAAATAACTAGAAGAGAGTACTCTACATTGGCTCTATTCTATTTTGGATATATTGAGTTTGATGTGGCTAAGGGATATCTAGACAGAGGGCCCAGCAAGCCATGAGATGTATGGGTCTGGAGTTCAGGAAATAAATCTGAATTAAAAGTGGAAAAAGGGGAGTCTTTGCATATTGATAGTAGCAGAAGTCATAAAAGATAGAGGTTACCCATAAGAATATGTAGACTAACAGAGAATAAAAACAGGGTCCCCAGCAAACTATGAGAAAAAGAGAAACCCCTTAAAAAACAAGAGAGGTAGGAGAAGCAGGGCAGCTGATGACATGGAAACCAGAGTAGGACAGAGGTTCATAAAAGGGAAAGTGACCATCAATGTCAAGGAAGCAAAGAAATCAAGTGATACAAGGACCAAAGTCTATTCCATCTAGCAATTAATTCATTATCGGTGACCTTTTCTGGAGCAGTTTCATGAGAAAAGTAGGGCAGATACTCTTTGCAGGAGGTTGAAGAGTGTCTGTTAGATGAGGAGTTGTAGACACAAGCATACGTTACTTTTTCCAGAAATTTGGATGTAACATGGGGATAAAATGTGTATCTAGAGAGAGATATATCTGTTTAAAAAGCAGCTTTATGGAAGTACAATTAACATACTTTAAACTGCACAGCTTGGTGATTTTGGGCCCATGGCTACACTGTGAAACCATCACCACAATCAAGGCAATAAACATATCCATCACCCCAAAAGTAGAAAAGTGGATATTTTAATAAGCTGAAGGGAAGGAGCCAGTGGAAAGAGAAACTGACTTTAAAGGAGAGAATATAATAAAGCAGAAGCAGAGGAATAAGGAGAATCCAAATATTTACCTCAGCTGTTCATTCAAAAGCCTTTTTCTCTTTTTTCTTTTTCCTTTCCCCTGGTACAGGCTGTATTATAACTTGAGTTGTAATTTTGCTGTTAATAAGTGATGTCAAAACAAAGGATGAATTTTTGTCGAATACAATATTACTCACAGAAAAACAGTGTAGTCATAGAATTTAAGACTGAAACTCTTCACCAAAGCAGTTAAGACTTCATACCACTTCAAAAGCCGCTTTGTATCTTCATATGTCAATATTTAAAAATATCTAAACTGTGTGTCTTCTCTTGCAGCCCAATTAAAGGATATTGCCTATGGCACCAAGCAGTATAAATTTAAACCAGAAATCACGCCAGATGACTCCGTTGATGAATTTGATGAAACCATTCACTTAGAACGAGGCGAAAACCTATTTGAAATCCATATCAACAAAGTAACCTTTTCTTCTGAAGTTTTACAGGCATCTGGAGATAAAGAGCCTGTCACTTTCTGTACCTATGCTTTCTATGATTTTGAGCTACAGACAACTCCCATAGTGCGAGGCCTTCACCCAGAATATAACTTCACTTCTCAATATCTCATTCATGTTAACGACTTATTTTTACAATATATTCAGAAGAATACTATCACTCTTGAGGTCCACCAAGCTTACAGCACAGATTATGAAACAATTGCGGCAGGTCAGTTGAGATTCCATGAAATTCTAGAAAAAAGTGGTCGAATATTTTGCACAGCAAGTTTGGTTGGTAAGTACAATCTTATAAGCTTTGGATATTTGAATCACTAATTTGGTTTATATATTAATATGGTGTTCTACATTACTGTCTTCTCTTAAGGATTCAAGATGCCTTGAGGGTGGGACAGTGTCCCCTAATTGATCTGCCCACAGTTGATTAGACAATCCTAAATGTCATTGGTGATGTCAATTGCAATGACTATTAATTTTTTAAAAGTTTATAAGTGTAGATATTTATTTACCATATTAATACCCTTTTTTGATTAAACATTAATTGTACATTCATCAAATATTTTTTAAGAGCTTATGTTATCGCTGTTACTAGGCATTGGAAATACAGTGGTCACTGCTAAGTAAGATAGACAGAGCCCCTGCCGTCATGTAGCTTACCTTCTAGAGGGGAAGACAGGCCATAAAACAAATATATATCTCATCAGGTGAAGAAAAATGAACAGGCTAATGAGAGAGATGGAAGGTTGCTAATTCAGATAGGGACTTTCCTGGTGGTTGACAGTGATAAAGACCTGAGTAAAGATCCATGACAGGATCCAGGGGAAGAATGTTTCATGCAGAGGTAACAGCAAGTACCAAGGTGGAGGGACAAACATGACATGTTGGATGAACAGCAAGAAGGCCAGTGGCTAAAGCAGAAATGTGATTAAAGCAGTAGAAGGATGACTATGCAAAGTCAGTCAGAGAAAGGCAAATACCATATGATTTCACTCATATTTGGAATTTAAGAAACAAAACAAACGAACAAAGGGAAAAAAGGGGAGGGGGATGGCAAACCAAGAAACAGACTCTTAACTCTAGAGAAACAAACTGCTGGTTACCAGAGGGAGGTGGGTGGGGGATGGGGAAATAAGTGATGGGGATTAAGGAGGGCACTTGTCGTGATGAGCCCTGGGTGATGTATGGAAGTGTTGAATCGCTAAATTCTTCCTGAAACTAATATTACACTATATGTTAACTAACTGGAATTTAAATAAAAACTTAAAAAAAAAAAGGAAAGTGCACTTTAAAACACACACACACACACACACAAAACAGTGGAAGGACCAGATCATGCTCTAGAAACTTGTAGGTCATGGTGAGGCAAATGGATTTTTTTTCTCTGAGTGATGAAACTCATTGGAGGGTTTTGAGGAGGTAAGTTACGGAATCACACATAGGTTTTAAAAAATCACCCTGGGTGCTGGGGAAAAATAATCTTTCGGGGCCAAGAGGGAAAACTAGGACCATTATCAGGCTATTGCATTAATCTGTGGAAAGATGATGGTGGCTTGGATTAAGATGGTAATGAGAAGAGTGACAAGAAGTGGTTATTTTCAGTTTATGTTTGATTAACTTTAAGACTTGCTTATCAATCAAATGGAGAGTAATGAAGGTAATGGAGAAGACAAGAATTTCTGGCATGCACAACAAGGAGAATCATGAGCCCATTTATTGAGATAGGCCTGGGAAAGGAACAAATCTGAGGAAGAAAATCAAGAATTTTGTTTAACAAGTTAAGACTGGCTGCCTGTTGGACAGCCAAGTGGAAATGGCATGTGGGCAGTTGGATACACTAGCCCTAGCCGGAAGGTCAGGGATAAACGTATGAAAGGAGGAGTCATTACCATATGGAATATATTTTAAGCCTTTGGCCTAGGTAATATCACACAGAGAGTGAATGTACACAAAGGGGAGAAAGTGGCCAAGGACTGAGCCTTGGAAAACCACACAATTTAGAGTTCAGGAAGAAGAGACACCAGCAAAGGAAACTAAAGAGTGGCTAGTGATTTAAAAGGCAAGCCAAGAGCATACAGTATCCTTAATGGCCATACTTCCGAAAGATGCCAAGTAAAGAAACCATTTCAAGAAGAGGGTGACTTAGCATCTGGGGAGGGATTTTATTTATTCATTGATCGATCACAGGGGTAACATATTATTTACATGATTCACAAATCAAAAAGTATAAAAGCTTATACTATAAAATCTGTCTCTCCTATTCCTGTCCCTCAGCTACCCTGGAACCCCTCACCAAAGGTTGCAAATTCTTCCAAAGAAATTTTAAGTATATACAAGCAAATATGTGTATCCATTAATATTCTCATTTTAGGACTTTTTTTTTAAATGATAGCAGATCTCAATCATGTTTGTGTGTTGATGAGAATGATCCCTTAGAAAGAAATTGATGAAGTAGAAGAGAATGGGGAAATAGTTTTAATAATATGGTATGCTCAGGAAAGTTTATGTATAGAATATCATCTATTCAACAAATACTGAGTACCATTGTATACTAGTCCCTCCAGTAGGAATATATCAGTGGAAACCACAGTCCTCGCCCTCAAGAAACTTATAGTGTGGGTGGAGAAATACACTGGTGAACAGATAGTTATGTGAAAGGAATCAGTGTCCTAATGAGAGGACATATCCTTCCCCTCTTTGAAGGAAGCAGAGAACCCTTAATTCCCCCAGGAGCTGTGGAGGAAATCTTCACAGAGGAAGAGCGATGAAGAGCTGCCCAAGTTGAAAAGAGTTGAGGGTGTACAGGGCAAACATGCAAGTATGAATTAAATCCGGCATATGTTTGGCATAGCTGTGGCATTTGTCCGTGTACTTGTGGCACAGTAGAGAAGTGGGAAGGGGCCAAAGACTTCTCAAAAGTTGAATCATGATGTGGAATTTCATATTTATAATTTTGAGATTTCATATTGTATCTGTCAGTCTACATTGAGTACAACTGGTTAAAAACAAGCTACTATAGCATCAAAAAGAATGTGGAGTATTTAATACAGTGTTTAGTTTTTTTCTTTATATTTTAGAAGGATTGAAATAGTATAAATTGGAATATCTCAAACATAATTTGACATAGCTCTTTAATAATACTTAACATACAATGAAACTCATACTTGCAGAAGAAACTTTATTTTCTTCAGCTCTGTTCTTTGCCAATCACACATCATTTGTGCAAGTCATATATTATTTTACTCAGTATAAAATTTTAACAGTGAGTTATGCATTGGTTTGTAGGAACTAAAGGAGACATCCCAAATTTTGGCACAGTGGAATACTGGTTCAGATTACGGATTCCCATGGATCAAGCAATTCGACTTTATCGAGAACGAGCAAAGGCTTTGGGATATATAACATCAAATTATAAGGGGCCAGAGCAAATGCAATGGGTGAGCTGGTTGGACTTTAAGACATTTTTATGATACAGAAATTTTATGTCTTTTTATGTCATGCTTTAAACCAAAATCATTTTCTTTCACAGCCATCAAGTGACTCTTTTTAACTTTTTATTTTGAAATAATTATACTTATAGGAAGTACAAAAACAGTACAGAGAAGTTCTGTGTACCCTTCACCCCCCTTCTCCCAGTTGTAACATCTTACCTAACTATACTACATGATCAAAACCAGGAAATTGACACTGGTACAATACCATTAACTAGACTACAGACCTTATTCGGATTTTATCAGTTTTTACATGCACTCGCGTGTGTGTGTGTACGTGCGTATTATTAGTTCTGTGCAGTTTTATCATGTGTATGTATTCATGTAACTACCACCACAAGCAAGATTCAGAATTGTTCCATCACCACAAAGGAACTCCCTTGTGCTACCCAGGGTACTTTTGGAAAAATAGAATTGCAGTACCCTGAATTGGAAGTTTAAATGCAATTCCTCAGAGCAGCATTTCCCAAACTGTGTTTCATGTAGTCTTAATGGCCATACTTCCAAAAGAATTCCATGATCCAATGAATGCAGAAAGCACTAAAGTGAGCAAAGTGAAATAGGGCCCTTGACTTCTCATGTATAATAAGAATCCCAAGAGGAAAGTTTAAAGTATGCCCTTGAGTAACAAAGGGATAAAATATAGTTGAACCATTTTGGAATGTCTGCTCAAATCATAATTATCTTTTTTCATTTGGACCACTGTCACTCCCAGTCTATGGGGATTTATGTCTGATGGTCCTGTTCTCTCCCACTCTCTGCTCAATTATGACTAATGATTCAGGGGTATCCACCTGACCCCAGTAAAGCCAATCGGATTCTGCTTTCAAGAGAAAGCAAGACTCTCCATGCTTGGAACATGTAAAATTGAGAGCTGTGGGGCAGCCATCTTCTACCATGTTAACCAGCAAAGGAAAGAAAATGGGTCTGGAGAGAAAGAATGATGAGCAAGCCTACAGAGAAAAATGGCCACTAGATCGAGTGTAAATTCTGGTGGTTTTCCAGTCCTGTTACCTTCCTCAGGCCCACCCACATTTCTGCTATACAATTCCATGAAATAACCATATGGACTTGCATTAACGTCTCTTTTTGTTGTATTTGCTAAATGGAATTAGTTTCTATAATTTTCAGTTAAATAACCATGACTAATATAACATTGATTCCCAAACTTAAGAAAGAGTGACACCTGTTTCCCAGAGATCATCTTTCTGGACTAGTATTCTTCAGAACAGACATTGGGAAATGCTGTTAATGGAAAAGAGAATTAAAAATAGACCAGGTTATTTATTTAGTTTTGTAGTTTAATTGTTTTTAGACTCCCATTTTCTGGCTTGGGTGAGTCATTTGTTGGAATTCCAGCTCTTGTGGGTAGATTTGGAGTGAGAAGCAGAGGGGGTACTTTTTAAATCATTCCACTCAGCATTCTGTAGCTGAGTACAGGTTTCTTCTCAGGTTTCTCCTCTCCACACCACCAGATGTCTCTACTGAGGACATTATGAGTTTGGGTCTATTTTGCCTTCTCCAGTAAACTTCGCTGGAGTCAAAGGTTCCAGATGCTCAATCCAGATTCAGAAATGCAGTGAAAGAGGAGCCCCTTTGTGGAAAATAGAGAATTCTCCAACACTAAACTAAACAAGGCCCGGGAACACTAACATTTCTTTGTCCCAGGGCATCAGCTATGGTGGGCTTAACAAGTTAATTAGGGCAATTGTTTGTTAAAACACTTATGCACCGGCTACGTGAACAATAGTTTCATAAGGGGCCATAGAGAAGCTTCTAGTTCTGCTTTATAATTCCTTTCACTCATCTTTCTTCCTTTTTTTTTTTTAAAGATTTTATTTATTTATTTGAGAGAGAGAGAACGAGAGATAGAGAGCACGAGAGGGAAGAGAGTCAGAGGGAGAAGCAGACTCCCTGCTGAGCAGGGAGCCCGATGTGGGACTCGATCCCGGGACTCCAGGATCATGATCTGAGCCGAAGGCAGTCGCTTAACCAACTGAGCCACCCAGGCGCCCCACTTTCTTCTGAAATGTCCTCCCAATCCTAACTTTTTTTGCCGTCCAATGTTTATCTCTGACCCTGTTCTCTTTTTCTTATATTAGTTGAACTTAGTTTCCTGGCTAATCTTAGGCCATGTATCTGCGTCCCCAAACACCGTTGGTTGAAGATGAGGGCCAACCCAAATATAATGAAAGAATCTCTCTGGGTGGGCTCCATCACATTCACTGGATTCTTACATAACAGTGAGTTATGATCACAATAGCTGGAACGGTTGAAGGATTAGCTCTTAATAAAATTGTGAACTAGAGGACATTTGTCTTTGGATCCATCTGTTCACTTTACTCATTAGTTATTAAATAGAATTAAAGAATATCAATTCTTGGTTTTATTTTGTTTTAACAACAGTCTCTACATGTATGCTCAGTCATCTATATTTATTGCTAATAGCCTAAGATCACCTGTTCACACATGTTCTAGGGAATATTAGTTTTGACTAAGAATCAGGTCTTTTACTGAGAAATTCACTATGAAGTGGGAATATACATCTTTTTGTCCATTTACAAAATTTTTTTTGCTTGGGATTTAGCAGCTGCTATTTATCTTTTCATTGTATTATTACGATAATATAAATATGTATTTTTTTTCCAGTCAAGTCAGCAAGCACCCAAAACTGCTCAGCTCAGTTCTACTGATTCCACAGATGGCAACTTAAATGAACTTCATATTACAGTCAGATGTTGCAGCCACTTGAAGTCCCGAGCAAGCCACCTTCAGCCACACCCATATGTTGTGTACAAGTTTTTTGATTTTGCTGACCATGATACAGCCATCATTCCCAGTAGCAATGATCCACAGTTTGATGATCAAGTGTGTTTCCCAGTGCCAATGAATATGGATTTGGATCGATACCTTAAGTCAGAGTCTCTGAGTTTTTATGTATTTGATGATAGTGATACTCAAGAGAATATATATATAGGAAAAGTCAATGTGCCTCTGATTTCATTGGCACATGACAGGTGTATCTCAGGTAAGCATATTTATTGAATCTATGAAATTGTAAAAACAAACCTAAATTATATTTCGGTTATGGATATGACCTTCCTAATGTTCTCAGATAATCTTAAATGTTGGGCCTACAGTTTTTTTCCTATTTTCTTAGTAGTTGTTCTACAGATTACAATATGTATCTTACCAGTCTAAAATTAATGGTGACAACTCCATCAAAATATAGAAAGTCTGCCCCAGTATAATTCCATTTCCTCCCCCCTCCTTTGTGCTATTATTGTCATATATTTATGTAAAGAATGCCTATATATGTTACAAATCCAGCAATACAATGTTATAATTATTGCATTGTATAATTTTTTGTCTTTTTTTTTTAAGATTTTATTTATGTAATTGACAGAGAGATCGAGCCAGAGAGCACAAGTGGAGGGAATGGCAGAGGCAGAGGGAGAGGCAGACTCCCCACTGAGCAGAGAGCCTGATGTAGGGCTCGATCCCAGGACCCTGGGATCATGACCTGAGCCAAAAGCAGACGCTTAACCATCTGAGCCACCCAGGCACCCAACTTTTTGTCTTTTAAAAAAGTCAAGAGAAGGGAGAATATCTATAATTATAGGAGACTTTCACATTAACTTACATGTTTACCATTTCTGGTATTCCTTTTTTTTTTTTTTTTTTTTTCCATTTCTGGTATTCTTTATTTCTTCTTATGGATTTGAATTACTGTCTGGTGTTATTTCCATACTCCAATATAACTCCATTGCCTCTCTCTCCTTTATGCTGTTATAATATTTTTTTATCTTTATATAAGTTCAACAATATAATTTTACTATTATTGTTTTATGCAATTGTCTTTTAAATTGGTTAAGAGAAGAAATGACAAAAAATATATTTACACTGTCTTTCATAATTACCTATGGGATTACTTTTATTGGTCTCTGTTCGTTTGTGTTGATTTGAGATCTGATATTACTTCCTTACAACCTAAAGAACTTCCTTTGATATGTCTTGTAACTCAGGTCTGCTGGTAATGAATTCTCTTAATTGTTATCTAGGAATGTCTTTATTTTGCTTTTATTTTTTGAAGGATAGTTTTGCCGGGTATAATGTTCTTAGTCATCAGTTATTTTTTTTCTTTGGCACTTTGAGTATATCAGATGACTAATTTCTGGCATGCATTGTTTCTAATGAGAAATCAGCTGTTATTATTATGGTTCCCTTGTACTTGATACTATCTTCAATATCTTTTTAGTGTGTGTGTGTATGTGTGTGTCTATGTATGGCTTTAAACAGACTATGATGTTTATGATGTGGATCCCACTGTGCTTATCCTACTTAGAATTTGTTGAGCTTTATGTGTAGGGTACTGTTAGGTATCAAATTTGGGGAGTTTTCTGCTGTTATTTCTTCAATTTTTTTCTGCCCTTTCTTCCCTCTTGGACTCCCATTACATGCACATTTGTGTTTAATGGTGTTTCACATTCTCTGAAGCTGTATTCATTTTTCTTCATTTTTTTTTTCTCTGCATATTGGATAATCTCTGTTGGTCAGTATTCAAGTTCACTGGTTCTTTCTTCTGCCAGCTCAAATCTCCTATTGAGACCCTCTACTGATTTTTTTTCATTTTAGTAATTGTAACTTCAACTCCAGAATTTCTATTTAGTTCTTTCTTTTTTATAAAATTTCTCTCTTTATTATTTTTTATAAATCATTGTCATCACAGTTTAATTCTCTAAATATCATTTATTTTAATTTTTTGAACATATTTATAATAGCTGTTCTGAGGTTTGTGTCTGTTAAGTGTAATATTGAAACACTGACAGAAGGTGTCTCTTGATGGCCTTTTTCCTATGTGTGCAGCATACACTCCTGCTTCACATGTGCCATGATTTTTTTTGTCATTGTTTAAAACTGGACATTTAGGATACTATATTATAGCAGCTCTAGATTTCAATTGTCTCCTACTCCACAGGGTGGTTCTCCTGACGTTTTTGCTTGGCGATTTGCCTGAACTAATTCTGTATCTTCCTCTCACTGTACCCACTGATGTTTCTGCTAAGTTTTTATTTGTTTAATTTTAAGCTTGAGTCAGCGTAGTTTAGTGGTCATTGATTGGTCAGAGGTTGTACTTAAACACCTTGAGCTAGTAGGCTTCCACCCTTTGTCTGTGGATTAGCGTACAGGTTGGGTAATGAGTTTTCAAGTTCACGCAGTCTGCAGGTCTCATGTTCAGCCAGAGAAGTAGCTTATTAGAGTCTGTTCTGACTCTTACTGTTGTTACTGAGTTTCTATAGATTCTCATCAATAAAGGTTCTCAATTTGTTGTACACTTTTGTTCAATTTCTAGAGCACTTAAATGGTTGGGGTTTTTTTATCATTTTGTCCAGTTTTATCATGTCATTCTTTTATTTTTTTAAGATTTTATTCGTTTATTTAATTGACAGAGAGAGAGCGAGAGAGGGAACACAAGCAGGGTGAGGGGCAGAGGGAGAAGCAGGCTTCCCGCCGAGCAGGGAGCACGGTGCGGGGCTCGATCCCAGTACCCTGGGATCATGACCTGAGCTGAAAGCAGTCGCTTAACCGACTGAGCCACCCAGGCGCCCCTCATGTCATTCTTTTTGTAGAAAGGATTTACTGAGCTCTTCACTCAGCCATTCTAGAAGTCCCACCTGTGCCTGTAGTAGAAGTTTATCATCTCCTTCTATTCCATCTATATTCTTTTGTTCTAAAGTCTAGAGTTGTTTTGGGGCACCTGGTTGGCTCAGTCGTTAAGCATCTGCCTTGGGCTCAGGTCGTGATCTCAGGGTCTTGGGATCAAGCCCCGCATCAGGCTCCCTGCTCCGCAGGAAGCCTGCTTCTCCCTCTTCTGCTCCTCCTGCTTGTGTTCCCTCTCTTGCTGTGTCTCTCTCTGTCAAATAAATAAATAAAATCTTGAAAAAAAAAAGTCTGGAATTGTTTTGTTTTTCTTTCCCAGCCAGCCATTAAAAGATATATCAAACACTTGAGGACCAAGTAAAAGATACTACTCCTAAACAAAAGTTATACTTGAAATATAGATTTGTTTTTTTCAAGTCTGGAATTTTTCATACTGAAAAATTTAGTGCAGGGGTGCCTGGGTGGCTCAGTTGGTTAAACGTCTGCCTTCAGCTCAGGTCATGATCCCGAAGTCCTGGGATCAAGCCCCGCATCAGGCTCCCTGTTCAGTGGAGAGCCTGCTTCTTTCCCTGCCCCTCACCCTACTCGTGCTCCCTCTCTCAAATAAATAAATAAAATCTTAAAAAAAAAGAAAAGAAAAGAAAAAATCTTAATACAATGACTAAAATTTGTGACTCTGTATTACAGTTGCAGCTAGGTGATACTTTTTATTACTGTTTTAGGCAGTTTGTCTATTTTCTGGACATTTTTTGTTGTGCTGCTATTAATTTGGAGTAATTTAACAAATCCCAGTAAAATATATTTAAAATTATGATAAAATTATGTGGTAATATGAAGACTTCCTTAGATATATAAATTATTTGAAATTGTGAAGTTTTAATATATTTTTCTATAGAGACAAGTCTTTTGCAAGAATATTTAAGGCAAAAGGAGGTTGATACTTGAGCTATAACCCAGATAATGTCTTAGAGGAAGGCTAAGAATTCTGAATAATCTCTGAATTTAATTTCAGTGAATTAAAATATTTATAAGTTAATTTTCTCTTCTTGGAATCAGTATTATCACTAAGGCCTTAACTTCTGAAAGGAGTCTGCTTCAGAGATGAACCTATCATAGATTATTTTGTCTTTATTCTCTAAGCCATTTGAGGTGTGAGTAAAAGCCAAAATTATTTTTAAAGTTGTGGGTAGTTCTTCTTCTTTAATTCTTATGGTAATAAAACTTCACTCTAGCATTAATTAAAATTATTTTTGTAACTTGACAGGAGTGTTTGAGTTAACAGATCATAAGAAGCATCCTGCAGGAACCATCCATGTTATATTGAAATGGAAATTTGCTTACCTTCCACCCAGTGGATCTGTAACAACTAAAGACTTAGGAAATTTTATACGCAAAGAAGATTCAGAAGTTGTTCAAAGAGCACCTCCGACATCCTCTGTTAGCACAGTAGTTGCTGTGAGTAACAGTGACTTTGAATTTATTTAAAAAAGAAAGAAAAAATAGTTGTAGTTTTATCTAAGTGTATGTTCATCATACTCAGTTTGACATATTGATTTATCTTAGGTACCAACACCAAAACCAAGACAGCGTTTAACACCTGTAGATAAGAAAGTGTCTTTTGTGGATATCACACCACAACAGAGTTCTGTAAGTAGTAAACACTGAAAATACTGATTTTTTTCTCTCATACCAAATATTTTTTTTTAAGATTTTATTTATTTATTTGAGAGAGAGAGAATGAGAGAGAGCACGAGAGGGAAGAGGGTCAGAGGGAGAAGCAGACTGCTGAGCAGGGAGCCCGATGTGGGACTCGATCCTGGGACTCCAGGATCATGACCTGAGCTGAAGGCAGTTGCTTAACCAACTGAGCCACCCAGGCGCCCTCTCTCATACCAGATATTTTAAATAAATGATGTAGGTGTTGTATACCCTACCTGATTTCAGAGGAAACCAGTGAATAAAATACTTCTTTTTCCTTTAATGTTAGTTCTTAATTTGGCACTGTGTATAAATGTTAAGTCTTCTTATTCTGATCTAAACCCTCTTTTGACGCCATTTGTAACTCCAGCTACTACCCTGATCCTCTTCCCCCATTTATGGGACAGGGAAAAAAAGAAACCTCTTCAGAAAGTCTTAATTCTGTTTCCCTTTCTTCACACACACCATTTCTTGAACTCACTCTAGTCAAAATTCGTCCTCATTAAAACCACTCTTGCTAAGTTCACAATGACTTTGACTTTGCCATATCCAATAGTCAGTTCTCAGTCCCCATCTTTATCTCCCAGTAACATTCGACACAGTGGAATACTTGCTCCCTCTTCACTTGGCCTCTGGGACACCATGCCTTTCTAGATTCTCTCCAGCTTTATCAGTTGTTCTTCTCACTGTCCTAGACCAAATCTCTCAATGTAGAGGTGCCTCAGCAGTTTCACTGCAGACCTAGACCTCTTCTCACTCTGTATCTACATTCACAGGTCTTAGCCAGTTTCATAGTTTTAAACATCTAGATGCAATCACTCTGATATTTATTATCTTCAGTCTTGATCTCGCTGCCAAATTGCAGATTTATTTTCTCCCCGCTTATTTCATATGCACCCGGATGTGTAATAGGAATCTAAACTCAACATGTCACAAACCAAATGTGACTTCACATCCCCCTTCCAAAATGTTTCTTCCATTGTTTCCCATTCTCAATAGATGACGAACCATTCACCCAGTTGCATAGTTATTAAATTTTGAAGGCATCCCTTTGTCATTCTCTTTTTCACATCCTACGTCCAGTTCATCCACAAAACCTGTCAGCTATACTTTCAAAACATATCCTGTATTTACATCATCTCCACTGTCACCACTCAAGTCACCATCATCTCTTTTGGACTTTAAAAAAAATATATTTTCCTTGTAATTGAGATATAACTCTTAAATAGAGGATACAAAACTTAAGCCCCCAGCTCAATGAATTTTTACCTATGTACACACCTGGGTAAACAACACCCAAATATCAAAATATTTTTTCTTGGGGCGCCTGGGTGGCTCAGTCCATTAAGTGTCTACCTTCAGCTCAGATCATGATCTCAGTCCTGGGATTGAGCTCCACGCTGGGCTCCCAGCTCAGTGGGGAGTCTGCTTCCCCTCTCTGGCTGCCCCTCCCCCCCCACTTGTGCGCTCTCTCTCATGCTTTCTCTCTCAAATAAATAAAATTTTTAAAAATTAAAAAATAAAAATATTTTTTCTCCTCAGAGCTTATGATGATACCTGGCATATACAGTGCATTTATTTATATATGTGCTAAATAAATGAATTCAATAACTATTATTCAGGCCATATTTAACAGCAAACACTTACTGAGTGCTCATTATGTGTCAGACCCTGAACTAAATGCTTTATGTCCACAAACTCATTTAATCCTAAGAACAACCTTATGATCATACTAGAATTATTGCCATTTAAAGATCAGGGAAGTAAGGGGTATCTGGGTGGCCCACTCTGTTAAGTGTCCAACTCGTGGTTTCACATCAGGTCATGATCTCATGGCTTATGAGATGGAGGCCTGTGCAAGGCTTGTTCTCAGGGCAGAGTCTGCTGGAGATTCTCTCCCTCTCCTTCTGCCCTTCCCCTACTTGCTCTCTCCCACTCTCTCAAATGAAAATATATCTTTAAAAAAAGAAAAAAAGATCAGGAAAGTAATATGTACAGAGCTTAAGTAACGCTCAAGGGCAAAATATTAGATCTGGAATTTGAACATAAGTAGCCGGATTCCTACATAAATAATTATAAAAATAAAAAAGACATACATATACATGGAGATGTTTGTTGTAATGTTAGTCACAAAAGCCGAAAATAGTGAATTAGTTAAATGTCCAACACCAGTAAAATGGTTCATTAAATTATGATACATCCATTCATTTTAATATTATATCATATTAAAAATGTTTACCCAAAGTTTCATACCAGGAGAAAATTTTATGTTGTAATATTAAGGTTTTTTTTAAATATAACAGGATATATTGTATTTATAATTACCACTGTGTAACCAAGAAAGTTTTTTATTTGCATTAAAAATTAATCATGAAGGGGCACCTGGGTGGCTCGGTCGTTAAGCGTCTGCCTTCGGCTCAGGTCATGATCCCAGGGTCCTGCGATCGAGCCCCGCATCGGGCTCCCTGCTCGGCAGGGAGCCTGCTTCTCCCTCTCCCACTCCCCCTGCTTGTGTTCCCTCTCTCGCTGTGTCTCTCTCTCTGTCAAATAAATAAAATCTTTTTTTTATTATTTTTATTTATTTGACAGAGAGAGAGAGAGCACAAGCAGGGGAAGCAGCAGAGGGAGAGGGAGAAGCAGACTCCCCGCTGAGCAGGGAGCCCGATGCGGGGCTCGATCCCAGGACCCTGGGATCATGACCTGAGCCGAAGGCAGATGCTTAACGAGTGAGCCACCCAGGTGCCCCAATAAATAAAATCTTTAAAAAAAAAAATCATAAAGGGGCACCCGGGTGGCTCAGTTCATCGAACATCTTGACCTATTCACTCAGGTCACGATCTCATGGGATCGCACTCAGCAGGGAGTCTGTTTGAGATTCTCTCTCTCCCTCTCCCTCTGTCCCTCACCTCACTCACTCTCTCTCTCTCCCTCTCAAATAAATGAATAAATCTTTAAAGTCAACTTGAAAGAATTTTTTTTAAATTAATCATAAAGAAAAAGGCAAAAAATTGTAAAGAAATCTACTGTTAATGGATATTATCATTGGGTAATGAGAATATGGACTTGTATTAATTTCTTTTGTTTTCTGGTTTATCTTTCCCATTTTCTGTATTGGACATGTTTAATTTTAAACTAGCAAATGATAAGCTATATTTTAAAAATAAACATCAGTTTATGAATCCTGGAAAATGGTTGACTATAAATTGATATTTGATACAGTTAAAAAATAATGTTGATCCTAGAAATTATATATCTTCGCATATGCAGTATTGTTTAATTACATGAGTAATGTATAATCATCGTGGAAATATTAGAAAATACAAATAAGCAAAAAAAAACCATTAAAAATAAAATTAAATTTCCCCAAATCTATATATCAGAGATAGAATTTTAGTGAATTTCCTTCCATGCTTATTCCCATAGGAACATATACATTGTTTGCATGTTTGTTTTTTAACAAAACAGTATACAACTATATTATTCTGTAACTAGCAATTTTTACTCAACACTGTATCAGGTACTCTCTTCAGTGTCAGTAAGTACAGATCTACATTATCATTTTTTTCATGGTTGCAAAGAACTCAGGTATTTGGATATATACCATATTGTATTTAACCCTATACTGTTGGACATTTGCACTGTTTTCACTTTTTTTGCAATTATAAACAATGCTTCAATGAACGACAGTTGCAATTCTTAAATTGTGTATATATACTATGATGACTATCAACCATTTTACTGAAATACGCTAACTAAACTAGGGTCATATGGGTAATATATATATATATATATATATACAGAAAATATATATATATAGGATTTAATAATAAAGTAATAAATACAAAATAACACATATGCATGTTTTCACATCAATAAAAGGAGATACCTCCTCCTCCTGAAGATGTGAAGGAAATGTCATCAGTAGTGGAGTATACGCCAGAAATAGAAACTAATATGCCACCTCTTTCACATATCTCTGAGGTATGTATTAAAATTATTTTGAAAGGTTTAATTTGGTTCGTAAAAGACTTTGTCTTGGGGGCGCCTGGGTGGCACAGTCGTTAAGCATCTGCCTTCGGCTCAGGTCATGGTCCCAGGGTCCTGGGATCGAGTCCCGCATCCTGCTCCCTGCTCGGCGGGAAGCCTGCTTCTCCCTCTCCCACTCCCCCTGCTTGTGTTCCCTCTCTCGCTGTGTCTCTCTCTGTCAAATAAATACATAAAAAATCTTTAAAAACAAAATATTACTAGAAGTCCTAGCCAGAGCAATTAGGCAAGAAAAAGAAATAAAAGACATCCAAATCAAAAGGAAGAAGCAGGCCTGCCTGGCTGGCACAGTCAGTTAAGCATCCATCTCTTGGTTTGGTTCAGATTGTGACCCCAGGGTCCTGGGATCGAGCTCTGCATCAGGCTCCCTGCTCAGCAGGAAGCCTGCTTCTCTCTCTCCCTCTGCCTGCCGCTCCCCCTATTTGTGCTCTGTCTTGCTCTCTATATCTCTGTGTCTCAAATGAATAAATAAAATCTTAAAAAAAAAAAAAAAAAAACTTTGTCTTTTTATTAAAATGGATCAAGAACTCAAAGCATTGATCCTATTTTTGTGTATAACTTCCTGGGGACAGAAAGATCGAAAATATGACCAGTGTTTTAATTATGCTGATATTAGCTGCTAATAAATAGATATGTGAATTAGAATAATAATGTAAAATTCATTTTGATATTAATATATTTTTCATCCTTGGCTTATAATAATGTTTTCATTTATCTTCATATTATCATTTGTGCAATTTTAGTGATGGTTTTTCTAATGAATCACTTACATAAAATGCCTGTCCATATATTTAAGTCTCAAGCTTACATTCTTGCAGAGTCAGGTGCTTCAGCAAGTACACACATGTGATCTAAGCAACAGTGTTATCAGTGTGCTTGCAATTTCTTCAGGTTTCTCAAGAAAGCAGTGGAGCTAAGGTAAAAGAGAGAATTCAACAAGGAAAAGATGATGTATCTTTCCTGTCTGAGGGTCAGCTTGCAGACCAAAGCTGGACTTCTTCTGAAGATGAAACAGAAATAACTGAGGAATTGGAACCAGAAGGTGATTTTTTTTTCCTTTCTTTAATTACCATTATTTACTTAATTGTATGCTTTCTTTAATCTGTTAGAGCATGCCTCCTAGGACATCTTCACGTAATAGTGGATCTACTTCGTGATACCTATTTCTTGACTGAAATGGTGGGACACAGTTCAGTGTAGTCAGCTAAAGGCAGGCAGAATTGTTGCACACCTTCTTATCTCAACCTGCAGTGCCACAGTGCAATCCACGACTACTGCTGACCATGTTCCCGATTTATGTTTTAAGTGCCTTTATGTTCTCTTTGGGTTTTATACTATCATCTGAATTATTCTGGAGAAATTAACTTTTTAAAAATTAAAACTAAAAACTCAGATAAGACAACTCTTACCAGGATTTAATTTATATAAATATCTAGACAAGGCAACTATAGCAACAAAGCATTTAGGTGGTGCCTAGGGAAGGGCGAATGGGAATAGAGAGATACAGAAAAAGAGTAGTTTGCAGGGGGCATGAGGAAACGTATAGGGTGACAGATGGGTTCACGATCTTAATTGTGGTGATGATTTCACAGAATTCTACATATGTCAAAATATCAAATTTTGCTCTTTAAATATGTGCAGTTTTTCATATGGCAATTTTTCCACAATAAAACTGCAAATTTTTTTATATGTTTCTAAATGTAAGAATTAACTTGAAACTAATGATATAATGTATGGTGATTAACATAACATAATAATAAAAAAAGAATTAACTTGATGTTTGCACAATGTAATTGGTTAGGCTGTTAGAAAACACCTATTACCCTGTCCTTCTCTTTAAAGAGATTATTTTTTAATTTCAGAGCAAGCTATATTTTTATTATCTTTGTTTCTACTAAAACTAAACTTGGAATTTTAAGTCATTTTTTTTAATCTTTTCTAAAATATAATGTAAAAGTAAATATCTTTGTTGCTAAGAAAGGTCTAGACATGAGTATCATATTGTCCTTTTAAGATTATCCTTATATTTCGCTCCATTTCATAAGGTATAAATATAATTGGTTTAACAGACTTGAACCACTAAAATTTTATTTTTTAACAGATGAGGAAGACAGATCAGCATCTGACAGTGATGAGTGTATTATTCCAGGTCATATCTCCAAGAATATCAAACAGGTCAGTAGCTTGATGCCAGCTAGAAATGTTGCAAAATAAAGCTGCTTTTCATTCATAGTGTATTGGTCTTTGCATATGAAAATCTGAAGGTAAAAATATTTCTGGGAAAATTTTATGTATCCTCACAATCTTACCCATGTAATCATCTAGTACAAAAAAAATTCATATGTAGTTTCATTATGTAATGGGTCATAACTTGTGTTATTTTTGCTTCCATGTTAATAATACCTATCAGCAGCAGCTTTAATAATTACTTGCTAAAACCAGTTGACATCCCTGACTCCTTTTCAGAAGGATTGTACAAAGATGTATTAAATCCAAACTGAGGGGCACCTGGGTGGCTCAGTAGGTTAAGCATCTGACTTTGCCTCAGGTCCTGGTCTTACGGTTCTGGGACAAGCCCCTTGGCAGGCTCCCCACTCAGCAGGGAGTCTGCTTGTCTCGCTCCCTCTGTTCCTCCCCCTGCTCATGCTCTCTCTCTCTCTCAAATAAATAAATAAAATCTTTTTCTAAAAAAATCCAATCTGAGCTTTAAGAATTCAAAATGGGATATTGCATTTAAAACTATAATACTTTCAAATGTGAATTCATTCATACACTAAATATGTCCACTGATAAAGTTATTTCCACCAAAAAATTAAACCTTCATAGAAGGTAATTAATCTTGTATAGGTGTACTTGTCTTGTAGCACGTTGCTGAAAAGCAGTATGTAAAAGGAAATTTTGAAAAGAAAATTATACTTTATATGGAAAGTATACCACGTACCAGAGCATTTTTTTTATTTTAAGGGGGGAGGGGTAGTTTTTATAAAGTAAATGTAAGTAAAGTAAAAAGGCCCTAGCTTTTCCTATTCATCTATGTTAATTTTCCTGAAATGATTAATTGTACTCCTTTTTTTTAGAATTTCTACTTTATGGGTAAGAATTGGAATACTTCTTTCAACTCTTAAAATTCTTAGCTTAACCTCTCTGCAGAACAAACCCAAATACAAACAGATGATTGATAAGTACAAGCAGAACAGTTCATCTGTCCAAAGTTTTATTATCATTATTAATTATAATATCACCTGACCCATGGCATCCTGATATGTGGAATCTTTATTGTTCAAAATCAATAAATCAAGGAAGGAATCTTAAATATGGTTGCCCAAAGACTTTTAATTATAGTATTTAGTTCAATTCAATTTAGCTTTTTTGCTTTATCAAACCTGAAATTGTTAAATTATTTATCAAACTAATGAATAGAAATTCTCTGCTCTCTATTAGAAATTTTTGATGATGGGAATCAAAGGGAAAATGAGCCCCTTGTGTGGAATTTAGCTTCATAGCCATTTGTATTAGGGTTTTCCAGGGAAACAGAACCAATAGGATATATATGTATAAATATGTACCTATAAGGAGATTTATTATAAGGAATTGAGTCACGTCGTTATGGAGACTGAGAAGTCCCAGGAACTGTATTCAGCAAGCTGGAGACCCAGAAAGGCAATGGTGTAGTTCCAGGCTCTTAAAACTAGGAGTGCTGATGGTGTCAGTTCCAGCTAGAAAGCCAGCAGGCTGGAGACCTAAGAAGAGTCAGTGTTTCAGTTCAAGTTCAAAGTCAGGAAAAGACGAATGTTGCCTCTGAAGGCCATCAGGCAAGAGGAGTTCTCGCCATTTTTGTTCTCTTTAGGTCTTCCAATTGATTGGAGGAAGCCCCATCCACCTTAGGGAGGGCAGTCTGCTTTACTCAGTCTTCCAATTCAAATGTTAATTTTAGCCAAAAACAGCCAGATGGACATACCTAGAATAATGTTTGACCAGAGGTCTGAAAATCTGGTGGTCCAGTCAAGTTGACAGATAAAATTAACTATCAGGGGTTCCCCAGGTGGCTCAGTCAGTTAAATGCCAGACTCTTGGTTTCGGCTCAGGTCATGATCTCAGGGCTCCATGCTCAGTGGGGAGTCTACTTCCCCTCTCCCTCTACCTCTCCCCCTGCTCGCACTCAGTGCTCGCTCGCTCGCTCTCTGTCTCTCAAATCAATCAATCTTTAAAAAATTTGACGGTCACATCATTTTATTAAGAACCGTCCATTCATTACATCAAGAGTAGTAAGCCTGCATGTTTGAATGAGCTTTCTTTCTCATGTGTCAATAGTTCTTCTGGAAGACTTTGCCTAACTCATCAGGATTTTTGAATACCTATATGATTTAGCCTTTTGAACATAAGAATATGAGACATGAGATACTGAATCAGTCCTGGGGTTTAAGAAGGCAGGTACTAAGGGATGTATTTATCTGGTCAAAGTACAAACCACACTCATCCCTCTTGTCATAACGCAGTGATTCCACGGATTCAGTGTCTGCAGTTTGTCGTCACTTCTCCTAAGGAAGTAAACACAGTATTCTGGTCCTGCCCTCAAGGAACATCTTCATTAATTGGAAGATGTGTTCATGAAAAGTCAAGTAGTTATTCAACTGTTAGATTACAATATAAAACAATGTCAGGTGACAGTACCAATAATTAATGTAATAGATATTTGAGGTAAAGAATACTTAGCTGTTTTCTGGCTCCCCTTCTCATTTTTCAAATGAATAAACTGAGTTCTTGGGAGATAAAGTGACTTGCTGATAATCTTGCCACTAATTAAGGAAGTTCAGAGGAAGGAGAAATTTGAAGTGACTTTTTAGTAGACTTTATGGAAGATATGCCCAGAGCTGGCCCATCTGCCCTCTTGTGGGCTTCATGTCTACTTTTTCTAATTTTAAGCTGACTTTCTCTGCTTTCCTTGTTTATTGCCCAAAGATAGCCATACAAACATGCCCAGCCCCAAGGAGAAAAATCTAATTAGCCATGCCTAGCCTCTGGATTAGGTCCATCTTTATCAGTTCTATACCCTTGATCCATTCAGCTGTGGTCAATCACACAGTAAGAAGGGGTGTTCTACTTTACCTGTGACATCTCAGAGATGCGGATACATGGCAGCAGAGAGAAAATTATGTGCACTTCTAGCGCAGGGGTGCATATGTGTTTCAGAAGTCAAGAATACACTAACTAGGGGCGCCTGGGTGGCTCAGGTGGTTAAGCGACTGCCTTCAGCTCAGGTCATGATCCTGGAGTCCCGGGATCGAGTCCCACATCGGGCTCCCTGCTCAGCAGGGAGTGTGCTTCTCCCTCCGACCCTCTTCCCTCTCATGCTCTCTATCTCTCATTCTCTAAAAAAAAAAAAAAAAATACACTAACTAGAGCAGCCTTTTTATATAAGAGGATAGAAGACTTTAGATACAAGCTAAACATTTTGGATTTTATCCAATAGATACTAGGGATCTATTAATGGTTAATTTTGTATTGTATTGTAATTGTAATGGTTAATTTTATTTTCTAAACATTGTATTCATCATTCAAAAGTAACTTTGAAAGTATAGGAAAATGTATGGTGATTAACATAACAATAAAAAATTAATAAAAAAAAAGAAAGTATAGGAAAATGTTATCTAAATTATAGCATCTTAGACCAAATGATTTTCAGCTGGGGGGAGGGGGTATTTTGTCCCCCAGGGGACATTTGGCAATGTCTGGAGGCATTCTGGATTGTCACACTGGGAGGGACTGCTGACATCTAATAGGTCGGGGTTAGGGTTACTGCCAAACATGCTACAATGCACAGGACTCACAGCAAAGAACTATCTGGCCCGAAATGTCAATAGTGCTGAGGCTGAGAAATCCTTCATTCAGTGGAACCATGTGTATTGGCAACATTGCTAGCATCTCAGTAGAATGGTTCAATGCCCTTGACTTAAGACAGAATAAGGAACTTTGATTTAACAAAGATATTTAGTGAAAGAAAGAACTATCCCTCTAAAATATCCAACTAGTTCTAATGTACACATCTATTTTTCCTTTAGAATAAACTGAGGTTTTTTCCTTCTTGTTCCTGGGAAAGTAATTTGTGTTACTTTGCTACAGCCTGCTACAGTCTTGACTGCCATTCCAAATGTGATTATTATAATGGTTTAAGATGCTTTCTCAAATGTGTGAATATCATTTAAAGGAAGCAACTGCTGTAAGCAATGCTTTATGCCTCAGTTGCCCTTAATCACCTCCCACATGCTTTTAAAAATTCTACTTTTAGGAGAAAGTACTAACCAGTATTTTCTGTTAATAGGTGATATTTAGTTGTGTCAAATTATTTACCAAATAAAGTAAAATAGTTTAATCTGTAGACATAGGAACAAACCTCAAGAGATCATCATAATCATGAAATACAGTGTTTTCTAGTGATTATACCAGTTTTTCTGTGTGCTACTTTAACAGTCGTTCAATATGAGTCATGGAACCTTTTTTCTTTAAAGATCACAAAAGTAGTACAAAGAACTCTTAAATGTACTGCACCCACATTCATCAACTGTTACGTTTCACTACATTTGTTGATCATTTCTGTTGTCTCTCCTATATATGTATATGTGCACCTATGTATGTATATATATATACACATTCTTGTATACATAATTATAATGAATCATTTTAGAGTTGCAGAAGTCATGCTCCTTTACCCTTAAATACTTCAGAATAATAATATAATACTATTATTTAATCAACAGTTCTCATTAAAATTTTGCCAGTTGTTCCAGTAGTATAATTTATAGCATTTGATTAATCTGATCCAGGATCCAATCCAGATTGCACACTGTGTTTAGCTTTCCTGTCTCATTAGCCTCTGTAATCCATAATGATGGTTTCAGCCTTTCTTTATATGGGTTCTTTCAGATTAACATATTTTAAGAATCCAGGTCATATATATTGTAGAATAGCCTTCAATTTGGTTTTATGTGATGTTTCCTCATATTAGATTCAGTTAAATGTTTTGGTAGGAATACTACAAAAGCAGTGCTACGTCCTTTCCAGTGCATCATGTCAGGAGGCACAGGATGTCATTCTGTCCGATTGTTGGTGATGTTAAATTTCGTCAAGGTGTTGTTATCAGAAAACCTTTTTTAAGCTTAAAAATCCTTGTGGCTCAT